CAAACTTAAAAGTATTAAAAAAAACAGTAGAAAAGAGACAGATATAAAGAAGGAAGGATCGATGATAAAAGAGGTGGCATTAGTATAAAATGTAAGGGTAAAGGGATTAGAAGTAAACAACAAATTGTGGGTGTGGCAGAGTGAGAGAGAAAGGTTGTAATGAAGTTCATGAATACAGACTAAAGCTCAATGAAGACGGCTGGAGTGATTTGTAAATTAGATAAGTGAAGAAGTAAAGAGAAAGAGAGGGATTGATTGATTAATTAAACGTTTTATTTAATCACGCAAAGTTAGGTCTCGTGGACCTTTCTTCCACTTAACGTTAGTAGTAACAATTTACATTATACATACGGAGTTGAGTTGAGTTCGGAGTCTGAAAGATTTAAATATGTACCACAATGGTTCTTTTTTAAAATAAACTGTTACAAAATATTAATGACTGACGACCACTGATTTAACCACTGCGTTAACTCACCTGAGGAAGGATTCAAATAAATCCGAAACGTAGTGGATTTCAAGCAAAACTTTTTTTTTTTTTTTTTTTTTACATTTTTACATTACATTTTACATAATATATTCATTTTTTATACATACATTCTTCTATTTAGAGAATGCAAGAACACTTAATATTTAACATAATATTAATTAATTTATGATTTTATGAGAGGTTTTAGTTATTTTTCACCAGATGTTTTAGATATTAGTTATTTGAACGTTCGAAAACTGCTCTCAGATGAAATACTATTTGGAACATTTATTAAACAGCGTTATGCTGGTAATTAAGAAAGAGTTGGAGTATTTTTCAGTTCTATGAATCGGAATTTCGAATATATTGTTGTGTCTTAAGTTTAATGTTTTAATTTTTCTCTTATATTTAACAAATTATATTATATATTATATTAGGTTGCATAGAGAGTATAATTTTAAACATTGTTGATGTTATGGTCATTTTTTGTAATTTATCATATCTTAACATATTTATTCTCCTATATATATAGTACTATCGTACTTTAGTCTTAATATATATTACAATTAATTAAGGTTTTTAGTTGAGATGAAAAAAGTTAATGGCACGAGCGGGATTCGACTCACGATCTTCGGCTAGATACGCCGCTGCTCTACCCCACCTTATGAGTTTTCCCTCCTTTTGCCATTTTTCAAATGTCGTGTAATCGGTTTTGATTCTCGACGACAATTGAAATGGCGACGGAGAGCTTTAGTGAAGTGTACTTCATTTTTTTAAATCATTAATTCACTACTTTCGAGGTCCGCTTGACCAATTAATGATATACATGACAATTAATTAAGGCTTTTAGTTGAGATGAAAAAAGTGAATGGCACGAGCGGGATTCGACTCACGATCTTCGGCTAGATACGCCGCTGCTCTACCCCACCTTATGAGTTTTCCCTCCTTTTGCCATTTTTCAAATGTCGTGTAATCGGTTTTGATTCTCGACGACAATTGAAATGGCGACNGTGTCGTCCGCGTAGGTGGTGATAATAGTGTCAGGATGTGTTGGTAGGTCAGCAGTATAAATGACATATAGGACAGGACCGAGGATACTACCTTGCGGTATACCGGCCTGTGTCTGTTTGACTTCTGAGAATTCATTGCCGCACCTCACTCTGAAACAGCGGTCAGTTAGGTAGGATTTCATTAAAAGGTAATAATGGGAGGGTAGGAAGCGCTTAAGTTTAAAAAGTACTATATACTTTTTAAACTTAAGTGAATGAATTAAGTATTTTCTGTCTAACAAACACATTACTAGTTGATATGAGTTTATTAAACAGTTAAAAGTGAATAGATTTTACTAACAACGAGTCTAGTTCGTTTTACCCAATTGAGTTTATGGTATATTGAGACACCTAGTATCTTTAGTGCATTTTCATATCTTATGTCATTCTCTAGTATTATTGGATAAATATTCATATATTCCAATTTACAGATAAGTTGCGGATGCCCAACAATCATACTGTTACATGTAGGGGAGGGAGAGAGGAAGAAAGAGAGAGAGAGAGAGAGAGAGAGAGAGAGAGAGAGAGAGAGAGAGAGAGAGAGAAATGTAATTTTTTAATTTCATAGATAAAACAATAATAAGATCAAACAATATGCTGAACTCTTGGTATGACCCTCTTTCTAAAAATAAACCGGCGCATATTCTTAGATCCTCATTATTCAATATTGATCGACTAACTATATTTATGTAAAATAGGACGGGTCATGCCATCAATTACTATAACAAGATCACTTATGTATATTATTATTCGACCTCCGGACGGATCAAGCTCAATAATCTATTTATTGATAATATTTAGCCTTAGAGCGCTGGCATATTTTTTTAGTTTTTATTTAACTTAAGACCGTTTCTTGAAGTAGCCACGGCCGAGGCTTTGAAGAAACGATAATTTTCCATATTTGCGAAAGTGAGCTAGTAAAAACTGGAGTTATCAATTATTCCTAGCTAGGCAACGAAACCCCCTCGGGCTAAGTAATTTAAATTAAAACCGTCTTACCCCGAAATTACCAATAATAAAATAGATTGAACAGCGCTCAAAATGATTCGGAACACTTTATAATGACGCTTACAAATGTCTAGGGTAGCAATCAAAACGGGGGGATAATGATGTATTAGAGAGAAGATAGGTAGCCTACGTGAGGTTTGACCTAATCACAAGTATAGCGAACTTAGGGGGGGGGAACTCCGGTTCCGATTGACTTAGTGTCATTAATTTTTAACTTTTACTATAATTTGTTCGTTTCATCGGGAGGAAGCGGAACGAAATTAAGTTAGAAAAAATCAGAAAAGATACCCCTTGGAGGGAAAACACGAGTTTTCAAAGCCGCAGTTAGAAAACTACAATTTAAAAAGCAGTATATCTCATTATTTATTTATGTAGGTAAATAGTTATACCTAATTAATAGAAAAAATATTGTTTGATTATTGGATAATTAGAAAAAAGAAAACAAATAGTGATTATCATAGCTATTAATGTAAGCATACGAGTTGTTTTATCAGTTCGGCCACCAAGGTTGTGAGGTGAAATTTCACTCAATTACGGTGCTGGAGTACTAGATATTCCTGCATACCCTTTTCACAAGCTTTAGAAAATCTTAAAAGAGGTTACACTGGCAAAAATTCCTCTAAGATCGAATAGCCAAGAAGCTTTAAAGCCTTAGCATGCGAAAAAAATAACATCATTAGAGAGTGAATGCATATAGCATCTCCAAAACCTGGGGAAACACAACAATCTGATGATACCCTGGGTACCAGGCTACAAAGAAATTTTGGGTAACAAGAGGGCAGTCGCACTGGCCAGATACGGATGTACAAAACCATATAGAACCTGAACCTATTCTTGGGATAACAAAAACAAACACAGAATCCTACATCCAAAAAGGCAAAAAGAGAAGTTGAGAAACTCTAGGGGTGATAGACACCTTATGCTTATGCTAGAGCAACCCTCACCAAGACTGCTACAGTTGAGAAAGCCTAAACTCAGAGGAGTGAAATGACTATTAACCGATCCCTTCAGGTCATACGTTATCCAGACTCTTAAATCATTGCCTAATGATATCTTGGGTACGAGGATACAAGGGAATTTCGGGTAACGAAAAAGCAAAAACACTGGCCAGCCGAGGATCTGCAAAGCCATACATAGGTTCTGATTGTCCTTGTACATGACAAAAGACAGAGAATACTCCATCACATAATGGATCCGAAAAAAGCAAAAGGAGAAGAGGTCAAATTCTTGAGTGCTGGCAATTATAATTGCAATACTGGCTCACTTCTACAGAGAGGGTTCTCAGAGTGGTGATAGGATCATTTACCGGTAACTGGCATCTGATAAAACATCTACCCAATATAGATATATTCAAGACGACCCCATTTGTAGGTTCTGAAATGAGGAGGAAGGAATAGCAATCTTTTTCGTATGCGAAGCAACCGCTAAAAAAAGACAAAAGCTTGAATACAAAGAAAACCAAGAAAGGACTTGTAGCACCGACATAATCTAGTGCTTTTTAGAAGAAGGATCGAGTCGATTGCACTGAACTAAGGAAATAGGAAAGGAAAATAAACCAGAAGGCTGCTGCGCTTTGGGAATAAAACCCCCCACTTTCTTGTAACCATCACCATCATTATCATCTAAATGATTGATTAATAATAATAATCTCTCTCTCTCTCTCTCTCTCTCTCTCTCTGTCTGTCTCTCTCTCTCTCTCTCTCTCTCTCTCTCTCTCTCTCTCTCTCTCTCTCTCTCCTGCTCTCAGTGCTCTCGCCACTCATATCGTCATCAAATGTGAAGCAACCCGTCAATGGAAACATAACTTTAGATTTAAAAAAATCTCAGGGAATGGAATCATAGGAACGGCAGACTTATGACCTCTTAGGTGAAGGATCGAGTCGATTGCGCTGAACTAAGGAACTAGAAAAAGTACAATAAGACAGATGGCTGCAGTGCTTGGGGAAAATAAAACCCCACTTTCTAATGTCCATTCATCATCATCAACAAACGTACTCTGTTCTGGCTAGTATGACGATGGCGAATTTGACGAGATCGTGACACTCGATTGAATAATAAAAATCAAGAATAAAATATATTAAATTTAATAACAAACTGCCCGATATTTGCAGAAAAAACCTGGCCCATTTATACACCAATAATAATTTAAAAAAAATATATGAGTTAATAAATATTGATTTGTTACAATAATATAAATCACATTATTAGTTGGGTTAATAAAAATAAAATAGTCTTTTTATCTACGATTTCTTCCGACTTATGTTGTTACAACCACCATTTTCTGTTTTTAATGTTATTATTGTATTAAATATTTATAGTTCTTTCCATAAAAGTTTATCCATGACCCGGCGAAAAGCTTGCTGTGAAAATGACTTATGTGTAATGAACTTTCTTATAGGTGGAGACGACTAAAGGCAGCTTAGACAGTAGAATTGATAAAAGATAAAGTAATATTAAATTAACTAAGGTGTATTTTGCTGCCGGCTGAACCAAGTAAGGAGGCCGAGATATATATGTGATCGATATAAATAAGGTCGTAATTGCAAATTTAATCTACCTTTCCACCGGTTCTTTACTCTTTAATGGTCCCGATAATGGCTGAAGCGGACAGTTCAAACGTCTGCAACTTTCTACCCGTTTAACGAATTGTTGAGTACAAGGTTGGGGCACCAGTTTGTGTAGGTGAGCACAGCTTGTAAGGTGATGCCCGGTAAGGAACACGTTCGACCTCTTTTAAATTAGTGACCTTCGCCCTCGATTTTCTCCAAATAACAACCCGCTTTCGTCCGGTGGGAGGCTGGAGGAATACAATACAAATCACATCTGACGTAAACAATGCGCCGATAACGTCCTACGTGTTATGCCGTGTATGCTGGGATGGGCGTGAGAGGAAACAAACGGACCGCGCCCAACGCGTAGGGACTTTCTTGTCGTTCGGATTGTACGCACGTTAGACAACAATAGCTGGAAAATCTGAATAATGGGAGGTTTCTTTATCCATTCTATAATCGGGTGAATTATTTATTTTTTGTCCTAATAAAAAAAAAAACGGCGTGGCGGATTCAGGCATATAATTGTTTCAATCAGTAGCATGATTTTACTTAAACTATATCCAAAAAATTATACTTATTAAGAAAATTAATTTTAAAACTCAATCTGGAGCAGACGAAGAAAACGCCGGATAGTCAATAATTGACATCATGCCGACGGACCGTCACAATTATGCAAAAGTTGCACTCTGGGTGAAAACGCTACGTAGAGCAATTAGACTGTAAAGATATGACCGACTGAAGGGAACATGACCGAATTCTCGGTACCCAGTGTAGCGGTCAATGAGATCAATTGAGATACCCGATACTTTGCCAGCTTACTAAAGAACGCGTTTAATAAGCCAAATTCAATGACAGTAAGTCCCATAGAGAAATTAAACGACCATTCAGGGGCCCGTTGCACTAACTGAGTTCAAAAATTGGCATTTTTCTATTTAACTTGAACCGAGTTCATGCAATCATACGGTATAAACTTTAAACTGCCGTCCTGCATGGGTTAAACGAAGTTCAGAGATAACGTCCATTTCATAATAATAATTAAAACCTGAATGCTGTTAAAGGCGTGGTCTCCCGATTCAACTTTTGATGTTTTGGTTCTCACATTTCAATAAAAAGTTATCATCTTTTGATTTAAAACCATTGTTCCCTCTTATATTATATGGTATGGTTTTAATCCTGTTTTTGTTATCAGGGATAGTAAGGCAATTTGTGGTTATTTTGCAATAGATTTCAACTCATTTTATTTCACTGATGTATTAATGCTTATTAAATGCTATAGATGCCTAATCATCCATCATTAGGCCGAGAGTTTTATAAAATCAAAAATTTTGTTCCAAGGACCTTAATTTTGCAATAGTGGATCGGTAATTTCTGGTTCAGGTAAAATTGCAAATGGAAAAACATATTCCTCCTATTCTTCCTTCAAAATGGATGCATCCCGGCGAGGTTATGGACTTGGAAATCAATCCTATAGATAAATAAATTGACAATTTCGCAGATAAATTTTGGTGTAAACCGCTGGCAGCCGTACGAACAATCAGGCAGGCTGGGCTTTTGTCGTGTTTTTTAAAGGAAGAGCAACAAGCAGGCAGACAGCTGACAGTATTGCTGAGCATTGCATAAAAATGATTCATGTCACATACCAATGGTGGAGGAGTTGAGACAAATGTGGCCAGGCTTACATACACTTCACCTACTAAGTAGGGCCTCCACAGGTTCAATATCATAAAAAGCAATGTTTGCCCTTGTGACAACACTTATGTACAAAACCACATGCTGTTCACTTGTGCAATGCTCGAAAGCGAAAGAAGCGATTTGGCGACATTCCTGGTGATGACCGGAGGTGTAACCTTCTAAAAAGAATGATTTGGTATCAAATGTTAAAATGCTCGGAATTGAGAACTTCATTTCGGTAATAGACTTTGATAAACTATAGTTCAAATCTCGCTCTATTAATTAATTGTCATTGATTTACATTACTATAACGTAAAGATTTTAAAGTTTGTGTAAAAAATATGAACAAGAAAAATACTTATTTTAAATTATTTAAGAAAATTCAAGTTAAAAATTCTTCATATACAATCACGTACTTTTGTTTTGTGTGTATATGTATTCCTTGCTTGTAATATGCTTAATATATAAATAATTAAAATAATTCCTTGAGGCTTTCTTTCACGCTAATAAATATCATACCTATAAACATAGTAAAATCTCAAAAAATCAACAATTTTCTGATATGAACAAGGCTTGTATTTAAGGATAAAAATAAAATCTTACCCTATAGATATTTCATTTTGGAAACAATAAAACCTAAATTTATTTGTCTGTGTTTATAAATTGCTCAAAAACATAAAAGTAATAAGATATTATAAATATTGATTATGTTATTATATTTCGACTCTGTTGACCATAACGTGCAGCGAAAAAAGCTTGAGTTTATTGTTATATTCTCCTTAAAATCCTTGAATCATATTAACAACTCTAGTCACAAAGATTTTTAAAATGCTTCATAGAAATATTACAAGTATTTCGTTTGCAAAGTAATACAAAAAAAAAGAGAGAGAGAGAAAAGAAAAAGAACATAATTGTATTACACTTGAATTTTCTTAAAATTTATAGTTCTTCTTAAATCTTTGAATCGGGAGTACCACAACGTACAGTCTTAAGCCCAATTTTATTTCTTTTATATATTAATGACTTTTTGAAAGTTAAATTCTTTGGAAAAATATTTAGTTGTGAAGATGATACGTGTATCATTTTCTCATGTGGTAATTGAATTAATTTAACCAAAACTATAAATAATGAAATGAAAATTATTAATTTTTGGCTAATAAAAACTAACTTTCTACTTTTAAACACAAAAAATATAATGTATTACACTTATCAATAAAATCGAAAATAAGTATTAATAAATTAAAATTTTCTTGTCAAACCTGTGATCATAATGATGAGTGCTCTTGTGCTTCTATCATTTTGCCTACAGTGTTAGTATAAATTTTATGAAAATTAACTCTTAAGGAAAATATATTTTTCTCTTTTTAACGGTATTGTTTCCTCGGTGATTAGTAATAAACGCTACACTAAAACTCTGGATGTAACTAAAAGCATACTTCTTAAAATTATTCTACGTGAACCGTGTAGATATAATAAAAATTATAATGTAAAGTAATGAATTTATACAAAATCTTTCTTAAATTTTCATGTTTATACACATAAAAACAATCTTGTAATTAGTTACATCAGTAAATAAAACACAAGACACAATTCATTGGCTAACTCATATTTTTAGAAAGTAAAGACTACTCAATATTATAAATTTTTATTAAATATGTCGCCTTTTTTTTACAAAGAGAGGATCATTACTCAAAATTTAAAACAACAAAGGCAAAAAATTTATACTTTCAAATATTTTAAATTGTATTTAATATACTGTAAAGCAAAAATTTAATTTGGTTGATTTTTTCATACTACAAGTTTATTCTGTTTTTTGTTTGTTTATTTGCTTGTTTTCAATGTCCTTTTGTAAATATATATTTTGTTTCTTTCTCTGATAATCTCTAAAAAACTCCTGTTATCTACAGCTAGCTTAGCTTTTTGACAGCGGGCAGGGATGTACAAAAATGTTATTTTTTGTTGTAAATTTATATATCATGTACATTGCAAATAAAGATTTATTATTATTCATTTACGATTTCATTCATTTACGTTAAAATCTTGGTTTACTGCGTGTCATAAATGATATGATAATTTTCTGTGGGACTGGTTTTTATTATAGTTTATTTATTTTTGTTGTAGATAAATGGATGCCGCCATTTAGACCTTCCCAGTTGATATACTCTGAGTTTCCAGAGGATCGGGCAAGAAGCCTGAACCTGAATAGGAGAGAATCATTCATTAACCATTATGAAAAAAAGCCTAGGACGTTGAGTCCACAGCCGAAGGATTATCCAGAAGACAACACAATCACACATTATTCAGCGCAAACAGGGTCTGATGATTTTTTCAACTTCAACTTATTCAGCGGGTTAAAAGGGGTGAAATATGAAAAACCTTCTGAAATTTTGGAAAGGGATGCGCAGATACTTGACGGAATGAATCCGCCTCTGTCGCCAGAAGGACGGAGTAAAGACTCTGATAATTCACATGAAGGGACACGACAGGATTATTTTTATACGTCGACTAACCACCTGGAGTATCCTGTCGTCGGACAGGAGAAAAAAATTGTTACCCGCCCTCCACAGTCTTCGACGTTGGCGAACACCGTCTACCCGATCAACAAGATCTCAGTCTTCAAAAATCCGCCCAAGCCTCCCGGATTCAAACTCTGGCCGGGTCTAGCAAGGTGGAAGACAGTGCTCGAAGATCAGGAATTATCATTGCAGTATATGAAACCACCACCGTTGGGACAAAAGCAGATTTGGGCGAGAACTTACAAACAGAGGTTGAGACCAAAATCCGGCTTTAACTACTTATAAATTATTATTAATTTTTTTATTGCTTGTACAAATTTATTTATTTAAGCTTGTGCCAGATCACATGGGGCAAATTTGTGATATGAACTAATCGTTCGTAATTGCTCTCTCTCTCTCTCTCTCTCTCTCTCTCTCTCTCTCTCTCTCTTTCTCTTTCTTTCTTTCATTAATTATAAGTTGTTCTATTATTGGTTTATAATAACAAATTTAACTGACGATAAGTGGTATACAATTAAAGCTCTGGACACACGTACACACATTTTACATTACTCTAAATGTCATTATTATTTTAAATATTATTATCAAAACTTAAGCCGCATCGACGGTCGCGTACTTTCTCCGGTAACGTAAAGGTGAAAAAGCTTTCCTTCTGCGGGTAGTGACGAATTAGACGATGTATTCGACCGAATCTAACTAATTCCTCGCTACAAAATGACCGAAAGCCAAGCTTTGTGAAAGGTCAGTCCAAGGAAATCGAGAATTCCTCAGTTGTTCTGTATCAAAAAGGTCAAGAGGTTAAACCTTCTGGCAATCGTGTCATTTAAGACCAAAATAAAAGCACTTTCTTCTAAATCTCGATGAAAGTGTGTTTATGAGGAAACACCGTGTCACGTACATCCTCGGTTGAAACTTTATAGAAATCAAATCAAAACAAAGTAAAAAAGGCTCGTGCAGAAAAGATGAACGAAAGTATAATGGATTGAAGCTGACATAAAAAAAATTATAATAGATCGGTGGGAATTGGGAACAAAAAGCTCCCGGGCTTGTTAAAAAAAAAGTCGGCCTCGTCAAGCACATTTGCTTGAATCATGGAGATCCTTATCCCACACCTCGTCTGGGCTTTAGAAAATGAGTGCGTTGTAGTTTTTGACTTTGCAAAAGCGTGATTGGAACCGTCAAGCTTTTCACATCGATAATTTCAAAAAGTCAAACCGGTTTCGACAATGAAAACTGCATTTTGGAAAATTTAGATTAATTTTTGTAACATTTTTCGATTTGCTAATCGCACACCAAACCAACAAAACACATTAACTTTTTTGCCAATATTGAACTTCGAAATTTTCAAAATAAAAAATTAAAACATTTCACGAAACAGAAATTGGTTTTGTACTAAAACAAGTACATGTAATAATAAATTGTTATTATTAACATTACTAATCACTGGCAGGCTTCGAAATCAACCACCTCCGGTGTTAACAGTCCGCGTCTTCGGTCTTATCCAGTCATAGTGCTGGGGACACATCCTTAGATCAAAACCCATTCACATTCTCACTCATTCTTAAATTCATTCTTTTCTATTTACGTACCTTCACTCAATTAGGGGGGTAGGAGGACTCGACATTCCTCCAACATCTTTTAAACCTATTATATAACTATTGGGGTGCTCAATAGGCTTCCATTATCCCTCTTACACTACACATTCACAATACATTCTCAAATACATTCTCTCGCAACACACGCTTGGGTCACAAAATTATAATTTCTATATTCAATAAAACAAATTTCCTCCACAAATCGGATCAGGGAGCCTAAAGATTGATCGCCGAGCTCGAGCACAATTCTTACATTGGGCGGCATTCCTACACGTTCCCTATATGGAGCCCAATAATGACACCCAATGTTATTATTATAAATTAATAACAATTATTTAATACGTCCGGAAACTTTTATTTTCACTGAAACTTAGGATAAAATTTTAATCGTTTAAAGAGCATTGGCATAAATCTTTTTTTATTATACTAAACATTACAGAGTTGTATGTCGTATGAAGATATTGTATTGAATTTTCATAAGTAGTACTGAGCACTATACAATTTGTCATCATAATTTCCACAAATCGTCAGTTCATTAAAAAAATGTTTCCACCTTGATATAAGTACCTGATTTTTTTATTTTTGTAACTAATATTCTACATTATGTTTTAATTACCTGGGTTTTTTGTAAATAGACTAATTTTTTAATTTAATAATATTTTATTTGAGTTTGTATTTTTTTTTTAATTTGTAGTTGTGTAATTATTGACAAAAACGAAGTTCCTGTGTATAACGGTTAAAAATAGATTAATGTATTTTTGTTATAAAACAATATAAATATAATTGAAAATTTATTGCGTTTTGATTTTTTCTTTGTGACTACTATCTTTCTGAAAGACAAAACTGGACACTCACATTTGTTTATTGTAAACTATATATATTTTTATTGTTATATTCATTACAACATACTTAATTTAAATTTTTTTCACGTTTTGTAAATAATGGTTCAAGTCATTTGTTATTTACAGCGATCCGGATTTCAGGTCGGAACACTGAAGGATCGGAAATAATATTTACTTTTTATCTTTGAATGTAACATATAACATAAATAATATATAACAACATAAACACCAAAGGTTGTCAATGTTGGATCAAATAGAAAAATACAGCTTTTTAACTGTTACATTTAGTAAAATCCGGAAGAGAAATGAATTTTTTAAATTGAAAACTGGATATCAAAGAGAAAAATGCCCCCCCCCCTATCAAGCCCAAAAATATTTATTTTTTATTTGATCTAAAATAAAACAAATCACAAAGCTTCTTTTGGTTTTTGTAAATTTTACTATAACTAATCTAACACGATGTTGCGTAATATTTTATTATCAAATGTAAAAGAAAAAATCAACCGATGTATAATACCTTTAAATACATGCACGACAACCCATATCCCCGATGGTTAGGGATGGTGGGATGATGATGGGATTCATAGGACAATGTGATTAAACAAAAAACAGCGATTTTTCTCTCATTATATTTGACAGCAAATGAACACTAATTTAAAAACTCTACTTGATAAAGCCTTGAAACAATAGAACTACAAAATTTTAGAGAAAAAATAGATTGTAGTTTTTATTTTTTATTTTTACAAGGTGCACATAAAAAAATAATCAGTTTTATTCAAAAGGGGTTATATTTCCGTTTCGGCCAACTTCATCTGGTCTCGATGTTGTTTTTAAAGCGGAAACGTCGCAACCTACTTTGCTTAGATGTGCTTTCTGATATGTGCGAGGATCGTCACTTAAATTGGACCTATCACATGTACATCTGAGCTGGAGACGTCTACTTGACCATTTCCTTAAATTTAAACTCCAATGAAATGATCTTTATGTTTATTATTTTCAATTGTTTATTAATTTTTGTCGTGTAAGGAAGACATGACAACTTGTGCAAAAGAAGTGAGACATTAAGAAAATTGCGAAAAATCGGTTAGTCCCTCAGTTTAAAAGTACATTCTAAAAGCATTTAAGTTACAAGACAAACGCCAGTTGAGGTAGTAGAGGCGTTATAAAAAAAATTAAATTAATTTGAGCAATATATATGTATATATTTTTTAAATAGTTATGGGTAGTTTTCAGACAAATGTGAAATGTTAGGTCTTACGTGCCGGAGGGGTCTGACAGTGAGTATCGCTTCCTGGAGTGAACCGGGTCTCGTTTCGGCTCCAGTCGAGGTTTGCCCGATTCGCTCCGGTTCTCCGCGGATCCGTTCAGGGTACGGTGATGTCTTTGGACGGATGCTGATGTCCGGTGGTGGAAAGGGGTCGTCCCGGTCGTTTTGACGCTGTGCCGGCATCTGATTCTGCTGGTACTGTGCGTATCGCCGGGCCCTCTGCGCTAGTTCTTCTTGCAGAGTCTGCTGTTCTTTCCGCTGAACAATCCGATTACCAGGGTGGAGCCTGGGCCATCTCGAATAAGCGCAGTGCTCTGGGTACTCTTGCCTAGCCGCATCCCGGTTCTTCTGTATGTATTCGATCGGCTTTTCCATTTCATTCCTGAATTCAAAGGTAAATATTAAATCGACACCTCATATAAAACCACGGCTCATTAAAAAAAAATTGTGTGTATATAGACGCTAGAATTGTGTATATATAGGCAAAAATCCCACCCAGTTGATTTTTTTGATTCTCTCTCAAAAAAAAGAAAATTCCGTCTTTAATTTAAAACAAAAATGGAAAAATTGAGTGTATATAGACTGACAGGCAAAAATCCCACCCAGTTGATTTTCTCAACAAAAAAAAAGGAAATTCTGTCTTTAATATGTCTCATTGTTTTTACCAATAAATATTCGCTTATGCTATGTTTTAAATTGGGAATATCAATTAGAGGTAAATTCACTTAATCCTTAATCCAAAACCCTAAGGTAAAGGATTTTTTCAACTGCTGAGGATGTTGCTCGTGGTGTGGCACTTATTGATGATGGATGTTCCATCAGGTGTGTGACTTTTACCATCGGAGTCCCTACGAAACACTGCGAGACGCCGTTGGATGTTTTCGAGAAACTGGGTCCTATCATAGATGGCCCGGTTTTGGACGCCCTAGAGTATCAGAACCACAAGATGGCGTTTTTGACTTTGAGAATTTCGCGACCGGAACCTTACCGTTGTTCAAGCGATCTATCAGCTTCAGGAAGTTCGAGGTGTCAAAATTTCTGAACGCACTGTTCGAAGAAGATTAAATCAGCATGGACTGATTGCTTTTCGCCCCTTAAGAAGACCAGAATTCACCAGAACATAGAGTTGCACGGCTTGCATTTGCTCGACAACACTTTGGCAGACGATTGGTCTGCTGTACTTTTTACAGATGAGTTTGCTCTACGATCCCTATGATGGATTTGATCTACGATGGACGTGAAAGAGTGTGGAGAAGACGAAATGAAAGGGACAAAGCTTGCAATTTTTCCCAGAGCCAACCTTTTCACGTAGTTCAGTGATGGTGTGGGCGGGAATTTTAATGGAGAGTCGCTCAGAGTCGGTTGTTGTTCTTGGACGGCCACTCGCCATTTGGATGAAATTTTGGAAAATCATGCTTATCCTCGATGAAATCAGCGACAATCCTGTTCTAATGCACGATAATGCCCGTCCACATGTCCCTCGCATAGTACAAGCGTACCTTCAACAGCATAGCACCTGGGGTCTTAGCCTGGCCAGCTTTGCTTCTCCAAACTTGAACCCCTCGAATATTTGAACAATGGATTGAAGGGACTCTTCGTGAAGAATGGGCTAACCTCCAGCAAAGAGACATTTCCAGACTGATAGAAAGTATGCCGAGGCGTCTTCAAGATGTAATTAAGGCAAGAGGAGAAATACGTCGATGTTACGTTAATTAAAAATCTAAAACAAAATTTTAAAAAATTTTATCTGTCCGGTTTTTGTTTCATTTTACTTAGTAATTTACATATTTTACGTTTTTAGACAAAGACTATTTATTATACCTTAAAAAACGTGAAACTTTAATTAATATGTAAAATATATACAAATCAAGTTATATTACAAGTGGGTGGAATTTTTTCGCTGTCAGTGTAAAATTTTAAAAACTTGCAAGAATGAATAAGAAACGTATTCTTCAGTAATTTCTACACAAAGTTATAATGAAAGAGTGAAAAATGAACTAATTAGAAACTATAACGCAAAAAGTCTTTTCAATGCTACTTGACTTTCTTTATACTTTCCCACGTGGGTAAAACGACGGAAGAAATACAGTAATTCTGTTGAATTCTGTTCAAGAATGAAATTAAAACGAGCCCTCGGGTCAGGCTTATCGGCGTGAAAGTGAGATTCGATTTACGTTCTTTCACGAATGTATAAACAAATCTACTGACGGGTTTCGAATTTTTATACCGCCCCAAGGCGTATCGACGGGCCGTACGCAGAAATATTAATAATTGGATACCTGTCGAACTGGATGGAAGTGTCCGCATTATCCGCAACATCTGTCTCTGGCCGAGCAGAACTATTTTTCCCCTATTAAAAATAAGTCAAAGTTAATAAAGTTATTTAACGTGGTCCTTACTACAAAAAACTCGCTTGATCAGACAGTAATGTACAAAACACATTGATATTCGTTCATTGATGACGTTCATTTTTCAAAGATGAGCTATAATGAGATAATTGATTTTTTTTTTTTTTTGGAGGGGTTGAGAACTCACAGAAAATTTCAGAAGCAATGTTAGGAATCGAACCCAATCTACCAGCCATGAAACTGGCACTAACCACTCGGCTAACGCGATTACTCACTTAATACCAGAAATGATCAGTTAACGCTGATTCTACTTTGTACGAAGATGGGAATGATAAGATTTCCATAGAAGCACTGAGGTAACATTGTGCATATTTTACCAAGAAGAGAAAAAAGCAGAAATTTATACTGTCTGTCTCTACAGGCCAGGGGAACAAACCAGCAAGTAATCTACACAAAAGAACCACTAAACTGTGGAACTTGATCAAAGCAGACTAGTGAGCTCTGATAAAAGTAGGGGAACTTTAAGGTCGAGGCCGAGGTTTTGTGGACACCTCTTTTATCCCTATGGACTATACCTAAAGTACCTTTAAGTACTAAGTAGATACTGGGTCACTAGTATCTACCTTAAGATAAATGCCCAGAAGATCGTCGCTTCCAAACCAACGGGGTTAGGCTCCAATGGGGGCTTTCAACAGCTAGGCCATTTCAGCCCCAACGCATGCGATCTATAACCTAGTCTGAAACTAACTAACTTGTGATACAGTCGCACAAATAAATACATTCACACCTATGTACATTGCACTCATTCTGACTAATCGGTGGAATACTCGATGCCTTCACAGACCTACACAAAATATTACTAAGCTAATCAAAATTAGATAGGATACATTTATAAATATTCCGTCATCGACCCTAAACATATTTAGAGGAGGGGGATGGTAACGCCATATTTCACCATTAACTCTCACCATGCACACTAATAATACAAGCACTCATAAAACCTTTTATCTCTATTAAAATGATACAAAAACCAAATAGGGCACCGAAGCTGGTATATATTGGAAGAAATTATGGGTTAAAAGAGAGTGACGAGAGGGAGTATCAGTAATACTATCGAATAAATGATAAATAAATATAAATGTAAATGAATAATAACGCAAGTAACTACAATGAATAAAAACATAGACACGATCACTAAACATGCACACACATAGGTCTCAACATACAACTAGTGAATAAATTAACATATATAGACATAAAAACAGCAAGGACGACAACAATATGAAAAATGCTGTAACAAAACATTGAATGTGAATTTCATTTGTTCACTATTACTTTTTTAGTTCACTAGCCATTAATTGAAACGATTTCTTGCCTTTGGCAACAAAGCAAAGTACTGTGTAGAACCTTTCGCTTCGTGCATTTTCAATGGAATGATTATGGAGAGTAGGGCACTAATAAATTTAATAATACGAAGGGTCTCCTGTCCTTTTCAAGTCCGTTTTTGGAGAATCACCAGGGAAAGACATCTTGCCTTGTCATGGAAAACGAATCCATTTCGATTCACCGATACAGACCGATTTTCCTTGATTCCCTGATTCAATTGGACATTCTCAAGGATCTATAGTTGAAAATTCTTTTGGCTATCCTTAAAGATATGTATCTTTCAAAGGTGGGTGTTTCAAAGATAAATGGCACCTTTTTATATTTCTGAATTTTGACTAATGTGCCTTCCTTGTGAATCGAGACGGCTAATATGACAAAGTTCGCATTAATTTTTTTTTATGAACGAGACGTGTACATCATCTCTTCCATCTCTCGAGTACCTTCAATTGAATCATAAGTTTTTGACTGTCACAGAAAAATTCCATTTTTTCTGAAACTTGCCATTAGATAATCTCTGAAACTGCCCATCAATATTGCCACCGTATTACAATAAATTTTTCTTCACGTTCGGTTTTGAAAATTTAAACAGAAAATATTTTAATTTTACAAAATCATCATTACTTTCTGATCAACCTATTAAAATCATATTCAAAACAGTGGAAACATTTATTAAGCACACTAGATATTATGGCCTTAGTAAATAGTTATAAAGTAAGGTAATTAAGAATTGTTTTTATATACTTACACAAGATATTTTACAAATACACGCGGTAATGTAAAGATAGAAAAACAAATTGGCAACCCAAAGGAATATTCCTCTGCAGGTGAAAAAGAACACCGACAACAGGGTCAATCCGGCCATTCCGCGATTCCTCACCGAGGGGGAAGTCTAAAACATAATTTTTCTCATAATTTTTATTCCTTTTAATTTATTTTAACAAAAATATACATATTAATACATAGTTATATAAAAAATTTTTAGATAAGGAAAATTTTATGCTTATAAGCTAAACTTGAGGTTTGCTCAAAACGAATAATTTGTGTCACAGGTGGGATTTGAACCAATTATCTTCGGATAAATACTCTGATGCTCAACTTATTGAGCTACCGTGACTTCGATCACCGGTCATACAAACAGTTGGTTCGAATCCCACCTGTGGCATAGATTTTTCTTTTCAAAAATACTTTGGGATAAACTGAATATATATAAAATAAAAATAAAATGAGTAATAATAATTTAATAGCGGTATACTTAAATCCTTTCTGCCCAGCATTTGTTACTTTGGGTGTATACAACCAGTGGTAGATCAATTATAGGAAAGTCTGGATTATTTGTGACGCAAAAAGGGCTGTTTTTCATTAAATGAATTAGTGCAGTCAATCCTCTGCATTTTATTAGCCGTTATTAATGCTTGCTGTACTTTTGTGAATGGCCGTAAAAGTGTATTATATTATTTCAATAAATTCACTAATTTCGTGGTCCGCTTGACCAATTAAACATTACAATTAATTAAGGTTTTTTAGTTGAGATGAAAAAAAGCTAATGGTACGAGAGGGATTCGAACCCACGACCTTCGGCTTGATACGCCGCTGCTCTACCACCTGAGCTATCGTGACCCCGATCCACTCGGACATCAACTCCCCATCTCAACCCCACCTTATGAGTTTTCCCTCCTTTTGCCATTTTTCAAATTTCGTGTAATCGGTTTGGATTCTCGACGACAATTGAAATGGCGACGGAGAGCTTTAGTGAAGTGTACTTCAGTTAATTCATTAAATTCACTAATTTCGTGGCCCGCTTGACCAATTAAACATTACAATTAATTAAGGTTTTTTAGTTGAGATGAAAAAAAGCTAATGGCACGAGAGGGATTCGAACCCACGACCTATCAACCTATCATCACGGCGTATACACGCAAAGTAACAAATGCTGAGCAGAAAGGATTTAAGTATACCGCTATTAAATTATTATTACTCATTTTATTTTTATTTTATATATATTCAGTTTATCCCAAAGTATTTTTGAAAAGAAAAATCTATGCCACAGGTGGGATTCGAACTTAATTAATTGTATTATTTCAATAAGTTGAAAAATACATAACTTTTAGATTATTTCAATTAAGAATGTTTCTAAATAATTCTAAATTAACACTTTTTTTTGTAAATTTGTACCCTATACATATTAGCCAATAAAAACAAATGTGATCATGTTTTTTCACACGGTCACAACACTAACACTAAAGCCCGTGCTGCACCAGGGCATATGCCATGTGAAACCAGCCAATACTGGCAATCAGTGTGAAGATGAGCAAGGAGGTCGTGGCATCGTCTTTCAAGGTGAAGTGGCAGGTTCTCAGGATGATAATGTGAAGAAATGGCTGAAGGAGTAGGGTTAGGATGGATCGAGAGGTGGCGTGAAATCGGGACTAAAAGAATGTTGAAGTCGTTGTGGATAGTGAGGTTAGTGATGTAGTAAAGATCTTTGACTGACGACTTTTGCTGGATTGTATGCATTGGATGATGGAAGTCTTGCCAGAAGCCATTTCCACTTCTTATGTCCAAACTGGTTGCAGTAAAGTGTTGTAAAAGGATAGTTTAGTATTAACGGTTAAGACTTGTTCGTAGTTGTCTAAGTCTTCAGTTAAGTTACCGACTCTTAAATCTTTGCGGGAATTCCACGCAGTCGTCCCAAGTATTTGATTTGAATGGAAATCGATATGTCTGTTGTTGATGTACAGTAGAGGACAAAATTCTTTCTTCAGTGTGAACTGAGTACGTTTTTCATCACTCAGTTTTGTCCTCCATTTTTTGAACCAATCTTGGTGGATAAGCTCAAGGCGTTCTTGGATGTTAGAGGTAGCACTAAGATAGGATTCAAGTTAGACGACTAAATTGCGGTCTATGTCGCTACGTGAACATGTTCGTCAGATGTAAAAGATGGGACCAAAAATCCTTCCTTGTGCGACACCGGCTTGTATCTGTGTAACTTACGAGAACCTGTTGCCGCACCATACTACTAAGTAAAGATCTAAAATTTGATAACAATATACATTAATTTTCTAAGTTTTTTTTTACTGTTTGATATCTGTTTTATCCATCTTATGTTTCTCTCAATTATTACACCTGCTTATGGAATTTACTTCACCGATCTTTTGGCCAATTGAAAAGTGAATTAAACAAAAAGAACTCGATAGTTTTAAAACGTTCTATCATTTTTTGTGTATGCAAGATTAAGGTTTTGATTAGCAGCCGTGAAAGAGATGTGAAATTGCCTTGCTTCTTTGAATTATCATGCTCTCTTTTAGAAATGTTACAGCAGGGCGTAACCAGCATGTATCCTCGTGTCAGACGCTTGTCAAATAATTTAAATCGCAGCTATTGCCAAAATTAAAACTCTTACCTCACAATTCACATCGTGGCGTCCAAATTTATAAAAAATACACGTCTATGCGCACTTACGGATATATAATCATAATCTGAGGCGATAAAAGAGCTGGCGACGAAATCAATTACACATACACAATAGCCAATTATTACGTAGAATGAAATCCATCCAATAATCAGGTTTTTTCTGTTTGTTGAAATAGCTAAAACAAATAATAGTATACACAATTAAAATTTAGAAGTATAAACGGAATAGTAAGCAGAAAATTTAAGTGAGTACACAGTGAGGAAAATTTAAAATGAGTTTTATAATATTGGCTTGTAAAATAAGTCAATAGCGCTTTTTCAATAATTCTGTTATACTTTCTTGGTAGTCTGAACATCGCCATTTTTTTTTTTTTAAATTAAATGGTAATTCAACAAAATGGTTCAAAATCGTGATTAAATTTGTTAAAAAAACCCTGAATCTTTTCATAGAATTTTTCAACAAAAACGCTACGAACCAATTTTGTTCTCCAAATAATCACTGTCTTAAATATTTTAAATTATTTCTTAACACATAATTGAAAATCGGGTCAAGATATGATTTCTTAATGAAATTTAGTTGATACTGATCATTTTTTCGTAACCTCGCTGTTTGAGTTGATGATAGGTATTAGTCTTCGAGTAGGTGAACTCGTGCTGATCCGGCCTTGGGTCCGTCTTCACTCGCGGGTTTGTTGGATTACTAAAACGCGTTTTGGCATCTTCAGTGGAACTCAGGTGCTGAAAAGCATTCTTGTAAGTGAAGACGCGTTTCAGCACTTCGCCATCTTAGTAGGGTCAGAGTAATGTTTGTGAAGTCAAGTTTCTGTTATAATATAGTGTGTATGTTATTACATGTTTGTATGTTTGTATGTGTGTGTGTGTGTGTGTGTGTGTGTGTGTGTGTGTGTGTGTGTGTGTGTGTGTGTGTGTGTGTGTGTGTGTGTGTGTTGAAAATGATCTTGCGTGTTCTTTATATCTGTCTTTTCTTTTTGTCCTGTCTGTCCGATGTAATTATCTCTACGTTAGCATGTTATGGCTTTATGAATTGGTTTTTGTAGTGTCATTTTGTTGATCATGTTTAGACTTGACTTCATACAAATCGCAAAGACCCGACACTGAAGTTGTAAAACCGCTGAAACGCTTCTGTCGGACCAATCCAATGATAACCCGACCAAAATGATCGATCAAACATACGGATAAATCACGGAGAAATCTTACAACACTTATGATATGTTAGCCAGAATTTAAAAACAAAAACCTTGATGTTTGATGAACCAATCAAACATTTAATCTGCCAAGCATAATTTCACTTATTTATCTGTACACTTCTGCTTATTCTTTGTGTAAAATTTCATATTTTTCACTTTTTATGCTTCAATTTTTAAGTGCACCGGGTGCGTTAAGTTGCGAGAATTGATGGATTGCTGCACTAGACAATGAGTAGTTTTTTTTTGCCCGGTTTTCAAGTATGTGTCAATTTATTCTATGTAACATTGAGATACCACACTTGTTTATATTTTTTCAGTTTATTCCAAATACAGGATTAAAAATTTGGAAACTTCATCGCAGTATAAGACGATGGAACAACAGCCAATCCATCAATCAAGAAGACGCTGAGACGTGCTAGTTTTGTCTGTATCTGTTGTTCTTTTTGTTCTTAATAGCTCCTCTCCTACTACTAGTAGGAGCGATTTTACAGGTGAAAGGGAAGTCACTGCTATCTTGACAAAGTTATGCCTAGATGACTGAAACAAGTGGTACGGAAAGGTGCAGATAGCAATTAATTATTGCTTTAAACGGATTACTGGCATGACACCCTTGGAAGCTGTTAATCGGTACAGCAGGAGAAGAAAATTACTTGACGGTAGTTGACGAGTTAGTGGCAGAATCGTTTGCCCAACAATGTGAAGACCTGCTGACGCAGAATAATTAGAAGATCCTAGCAAGATTGTGATGGAGAGCGGGTTGCAATAAAACGCGCGCAGTTTCCAACACTGTCCAAAGTTAAGGTTAAGATTTAGAAACGATATCGGGATCGGAAAAGACAGGAAACCTGAAAAGATCAACGGAACACAGGGACCGTGGAAAACCATTTCTAGTGCTGACATCGGAATGACCTCATCTCAGACGACGTAGAGTCAGTCAGCGATCCACGACTGTGCAGTCATTAGCGTGTGAATGAATTTTCAGTATGGCCGAGTTGTACTATGGACACTAGCATCCTTTGACTGACTGCCCTTGGCAGTTCGCCCATCAAAGAGCACCAGGGCGGAGAATGAGTACCTATGAGCGAATAGCGAATATCCCAGGCCACGCAGTCTCGAATTCGCCCACTCAAGACATAGCTTAAACGACCACCTCGTCTCACCCAACTGGGAGTTATAGCCCACTTAATGTGGAACTTCATCGACGACGGTTGGTACAGTGTGGACAAGGCTCGGGACCCAAGAAAGGGTATCTCGTGTCCTCGTTCATTCCCCCCTATTTGTTTTTTGTCGCTGTCTGGGTTCCTTCTTTCTTACGCCCGAGGGGGAGAACCTGGAACACTCTTCCCCTCAAACTCCAATGTGGAGGAGAGTCTGCCCTTGGGGAGTAGCCGGCACCCGAGAGGGAGTCTGTGAAAGCCTGGGGATCCGGTAGTTTCTACGCTGGGGAAGCTCCACTACTCTGGGACGTAGAGTGGCCTTCTCTACCTAGGGGGTGCGCGCTGCCTCTACACCAATGCTGCGGCAGACCCTTCTGTCGTATGCGGAGGTGCGTCAGCTCTCAGCTTGAGAATCAAAACGTCCGATAAGGCCGAATAGGCTAGGTGCGGACATTAAAGATCCTCATTGTCCTTTTTAGGACGACCCAGTATACGGGAAGCAATGCCCTTGGCAGTACATCTCACAGTACAGGTCGACAAAACCATCTGATAAAGAATATGTACCGCTCATTCCTACTTTGCTTGATATGAGTGCTTTTTCATAAAAGGTAAAAGCGGGTAAAACTAATATGGATATATAATTGTTACTACTACGCCTCGTGCTCGTACTATTGTATTTTACATAGTGGCAATAAAGGCGATACGAATATAAGTGTATTTCTTGGTTCCTACAAATAGATGGTTAAGGGTGGACGCTGGGACGAGCTAGTGTTTTGGGTGTATCTATTGTTCTTTTTAGTTAGCCTCCTATCCAATATTTATATGGATTTTACTACAATAAATAGAAGCCATTGTTTTTCACCAAAATTACTCATTTTTTACCGGATTGTAATTTGGTGTCGATACTATATCGATTTCGAGGTAAAAGAATATCTTAATTTCTCATAATTAATGTCATCCTTTCAAAAAGTGGCGTAATTGACCAGGAAACAGCACAATAGTTGTCAAATGGCGTCAGGGGTACAAGCAGGGAGAGGCTCGACGCACCTTCCACTTAAGAGAATTTTTCCTGTATCAAATATCATTCACCGAGATGTCTTGGTCCATTATTTTTTCTTCTTGCTAGTCATTGTTCGTTTGTTTATAAATCTTTAGAATTGTTAACTAAAACGTTCTTAGTCAATACTGAAATTTCTTCAGTTTGCCGCTTTCGCCCTTTTAGAATGTCTTTTTCAGGAGAATCAAAAGATCGTTTGTTGACTGGCAATAAATCAGTAATTATGTTTTATGCATTAACGGTTTTCATAACAACGAATATAAATTAAAATAGTCGAAAGTTAATTGTTAATTTGTAACCATTGTATTATTAATTTAAATTAACTCACTGTGGTAGTTTCAACTGTTAACAACCGACCTATGTCAAACCGAATGGCATCATAATTAAAAAGGTGGTGAACCATTGTGAGACATTTCTACCGAGTTTGTAATTACTACGTCTATAGGTATTTATTTATATAAAAAAAACCTCACCTACTAAAACAACTATTCCACAAATTCCAAGAAGCAGGTTGAACATGTAGAAGAATATATTAATAACCAATAGATTTTCTGGTGAGGTCACTTCTTGTACTTCTTTGTAGAAATTCAAATCAGCATTGCACGGGCCTGGAATCCACACGGCGACAAGATCATAGAAGTCATCATGAATGAATGAAACAGAAATATTTATGTTTATGGCTCTCGCTCTCTCTTTTTTTATTCTCTCTTTCTCTCTCTCGCTCTTTCTCTTTTTCTCTCTCACTTTCTTTTCTTTGTATTTCATCCTCTTAATTGCTCTTTACGTTTTCTTCAAGGACTTTTTCTAGACCCTAAATTCTCTCTCTCTCTCTCTCTCTCTCTCTCTCTCTCTCTCTCCTTCTCTCTCTCTCCCCCTCTCCCCCCTCTCTCTCTTTCTCTCTCTCTCTCTCTTTCTTTCTTTCTTCCTTTCTGTCTCTCTCCCCTCTTTCTCTTTCTTTCTTCTCCATTTCCTATGTATCCCTACATCCCACTCTCTACTGCATGTATTAATCTGCCCTCTCCCATTTACTTCTCTCTCTCTCTCTCTCTCTCTCTCTCTCTCTCTCTCTCTCTCTCACACACACACACACACACACACACACAGACTCACTCTATCTCTTTTTTTCTCTCTCTCCCACTTTCACTCTCTCTCTTCTCCATTTGCATTCCCTATCTATCCGTACATCCCACTTCTTATCGCATGTATCAATCTACCCTCTCCCATTTACCTCTCTCTCTCTTTCCCTCTTTTTTCCTCTCTCTCACTCTCTCTTTCTCTCTACCTCTCTCACTCTTACGGGATCCAGTTTAGAAAACATTACCGTGAAATCACCTTGAAAGTATGCTGCTAAGTAGTGTATCAGTGTGAGCGGGGTGGTTTTCGTGATTGGATCCGGTTTGAGGATACACGCGTAGCAGAGGATCGCCGGCAAAGTGATAGCGCTCCACGCAAGACCTTGGCACTAAAATAATTAATAAATTTGAAACAAACAAATACAAATTAATAAATAAGATAATAATGAAATTTGAACAGCCAGGAAGTTAATTTATTCAAAAAATGTCAGGAACGAAACAAACAGAAATGATTCTTTAACGTCAAACCTCGACTGAATAAAACTTTATAAGAACGGATTTTTAAATAATACACGATCCCGACAGGACAAAAAGGGTTTTTTATACTTAATTTACTAAAATTTAGTAAATGACATACAATAATTTAAATCAAATGTTATGGAACTTTCTTCCAGGCCTCCTTTCAAAATAAGTACGTAAACCGGTTCTAGAACTTATTACAGTCGTTATTTTCAATTAGGCTTACTATTACTTACGTTTCGAAAGACCTACCGGACATTTCAATAAATCTAACATGTTCAGAGGTCAGAGGGACAGATTTCAACGGGATTGTCGATTGTCAAATGGATATTTTATCGCGTTTATCTGCTCCGAACTCGACTTTCGTTCATCGACGAGAATAATTTTGTTTTGTCTAAAACACGTTTCTAAAACAATTTTAAAAGGATTTAGGTCGTTCGCCAATGGTGAAACTGTTTACGAAAATAATAATCTATAAAACGTTTATCTTCAAATCAGATAACGTCAATTAGTCACATTTATCTGTCGGCTAGAACGTTTTGAATGACCTCAACGATTTTTTAAGGATATTTGTAACTTTACTTAGAATGCAGTAGAATAAATTCCAATTAATCATCAATCAAAGACAATTTTTTAAAAATTAACACACAACAAAAAAAAATGCGAACGTTTGCTTCATTGTCTTTATGTATGCTTACAAACTTTAAAAATATGTGATTATTAAATGTACACCTATATTGTTAAGTTAAACTAATCATTGCGTTATCAGTTAAGAAATTTATTGAAAGGCTTAAGAATTTAAAGGAATAGTTGAACCTATGCTATAAACGATACAATGAAAACATTGTAAAGTAATAAAACATGCGATCAGTTTTTATCAATATTAAATTTTTTTCGGGTAAAACATAGAATTTACAGTTATTCGTTTGGATTTCTAAAAAAGTCATCGGTACATATTTTGATTTTTCATGATTGAGGAAAGTGAAATCATAATAGGACTGTTAAGTTTGTTTAGTTTTCAAAAATGATAATTCAAAAAGGCGAATGAATGAATAAACATGCTACAATTAGGAGACTTTCTTGCATTGTTAAATCGTTCTTTTCTACTTACACCTAGTTTCAAGGTAATTTCTTTTTTCCCAGTGGGTTCATTAATACAAATTCAGTTTAGAATTTACAAAAAGGTTTGTTTTGGGTCCTTCCAAGATGTTTTTTTCTCGTTTAGTGACTTAAATATAAGGTAGAAATTGCATGTTGGATCGACACCAGGCCGAATCATTGAGAAACTAAGATGCTTTAGCCTTCCCAATAGTCCCAAATGTTTTTATAGTAAATATATTTTTTCGAATTAATATATTTTTACATATCAAAATAAATATTACAAATATGAGCGTACATGGATTTTTTTCACATGATGGCTAAAAATGCACCCGGAGGACACGTTAGGACAACTTTGGCACACATTATGAAGCATTAAGGTGCAAGGATATCTTGAGTATCGGAAAGTGTAAATAAATGGATCTTGCTGTGAAATTTTTAAAACCGGGAATGGTTCAGTTCGTTGACATATGAGGCCGTTGTGGATTATATGAATGTCGTAGTAAGCTTGAAGCCTGAGGACTTTTGATTGGAAGGATTGGATGGGCTGGATGCTGGATGGAATTGCGGAACCTTACACTTCCGTTTTGTATGTCTAAAGTAATCGCAGTAAAATCCTTTTTAACGTCAGTTTAGTGTGAAGACGGATTTCGGTCCTAGTTAGTTCCTTCGTAGTTTCCAAGTCTTCTGTTAAGCTGTTGTCTATTAAGTCTTGTGTGGTAATTCGACGTACGTTTGCGTCTTAGTTTTAGTCCTAAGTATTTGACATGAATGGAAATCGCGTAGCATAAAGGACTTGAGCAGTAAGGTTAGGATGGATCGAGTGGTTAATGTGAAACTTTTGGGAACCAGGACCTCTTAGTTCGTTGACAAAAGGAAGATCATTGTGGATAGAAAGGTTAGTGACTAATTAGAAGCTTTAACGATTTTTCTGAGGACTTGTAGTAGAAGGATTCGCTGGATGTGGGATGGCTTGGCAGAACCCACAGTACAGTCCCGTATTGTTGAATGTCTTGTTCAGTTATGATGTTAGTTCTATATGTTAGTTATGATAGTTAACAGAGATTGCGGTCCTAAAAGTCTTCGTAGTTGTCCAAAGTTAAGTCCACTTAAATCTTGTGTGGGGATTCCACATCACAGTGCTATCTAGGTATAGTTGACTTAAGTAAAAGTCGGTAGTTCCTTGTTGAAGTACAGTGTAGGGCAAGATTTTTCAATGTAAATATACATTGGATTTTTTCTCATTCATACTTGTCCTTTTTGCATCCTTCTTTGTTAACCTCAAGGCTGATTGTTGGAGGTTGCTTGGATGGGATTTGTCTTGAATACAAAAGTAATGTATCATCCGTACAGGTAGGCGGTGTCGGGGTGTAAAGAAAACAGCAGTAAAATCCTAAGGGACCGAGAATGCACCCTTGTGGGACGTCGGCTTTGATTGATCTGACATTTGATTACTCATTGTCGCACCTCACTCTAAAGCAGCGGTCAGGGTGGAATTCCAGAATAAGGTAATAATTGGATAAAGAAGCCTTTAAGTTTATAATCGATACTTGAATCCTACACCGCAAAAGCGTTTTTTTTACCTCTTGGTTCGGATGGGGAGAGGCAAAATTTAATCTTTAAATAAAATTAAATGAAAAGCTAAATTAATTAATTAATTTAAATAAACAAAAAACACTTGTGAAATTATTAGAGTAGAATGTAAGAATCTAAAATAAATATATATTTCAAATTTAGGTCAAATATTTATTTATTTTACTAACGTATTCAATTTTATAAAACAATACAGTTTTATTAATGTTTAACAATAAACAAGTGTTTAATTATTTTTTTATTAATTAATAGTTATTATTAATTAAATTATTATTTTGTACACCCGGCATGGGTCAAACGCGCTAAAGCTTTACGCCATCTTCAGTGAGCTACTGAATGTCGTTGTCTATGTATTGGGGCGTGGTACAGGCATTCCTTAGTGATGTCGGTTATTTTATATTTTCGTTTATGTTTCGTTAGTGTCTTTTTTTGCTTTTTTGTTGTGTTTGTTTCAATGTTGTCCATTCAACGTTTGCGTTTTTGTTTGATAGATGCATGAAAGTAGTGTGTCTGAAGATGAGTTTGTAGATTTATAAGTTTTCTATATTTTAGTGCGATTTTCTAAGTTCTCCAGTACGTTAAGTTTTCATCCGTTTCGTTCATTTTGTATTGTATGCCATGCTCGCTAGGTTCTTTCCTTTGTTAGTTTCATTATTGTGGAGCATTAAGTAAGTATCGTAATTTAATTTACCGTAGTAGTCTGAACGTTGTGAGATAATTTTGTCTAGCGGTTGTGTTTTTATTTCTTTTTATTAATACCTATTTTATTAGCTGCCGTCTTATTCACCTATCTATACATCCTAATATGTACCATCATCACTATCAATTTTGTCTTCTAACTCGAATGCTATCCAAAATACCTCCAAAAAGAACTCCGAGCTTATCCCAGACTGATAAAAACGTGGAGAGACAAGAGAAATGTACTTAGTGTACGTTTGAAAAACAGTTTCCACTGTACGTCAGCAATAAAGTGATACCGATTTCCATTCAAATAAAACGCTTAGGACTATACCTAGATGGTAAATTGACGTGGAATCCCTACAAGAAACAACAACCTAACTGAATACTTGGACAACTAATATGTCTTGACCCTTAAAACTCAATTGACTATAAGGTTAGTTACGGTAAATTGGTACTATAGTAGTATGTTTAAAGAAACGTTCGTAGTTCTGACAAGCCATCCCACTTCCAGCGCACCCAATCCTTTCAATCCAAAGCACTCAGACTAATTGTCAAAGCTCTTTACTACGTCACTAACCTCACTATCCACCACAACTACCTCAACATTCCTTTTGTGAACTACCTGAACATCCTAGCCTTACTGCTAAGTTCTTTATGCACATTCCCACCCGGAAACCCACCACTGCCTTAATCGACGCTGGCCTGGAGACCTTGCCCTTCAATTCCTCACACTGTACTACTAAATAAAATATATCATTTACAAAATTATTGATCCTCAGTGCAGCTTTTATTCCGAGTTTGTTAAATAAATTTGTTGTTGATGATGATGAAAGGAGACTAGTCAATAGATGTCGTACAAATTCTTTGTATGCCAGTGATTAATCCATTAAGGTGATACACAAGGAAGCTTCGGACCTCCCTGAAAGGAGACTAAGAAGTAGGGGTTTATATTCCCCAATCACTGCAGCCTTCTGGCTAAGTACTTGCTTCTAAAGTACTTTCCTAAGACCTTAGTTCAGTGCAAACAACTCGAACCTTCTCCTCAGAAGTACTAGGACTGTCTCTCGGTTTTCTTGTTATCTCAGGTTATGTCTCCATTGAGCGGTTGCTTCGCATTCGAAGATGATACGGGTGGCTGTTTCTTCCTCTTCATTGCATAATATGAAAATCTAATCATTGAATATGCCCATGTTGTGTAGTGTTTTGGCATACCAGTGACCGGTTGATTGGCCATTGTTTATAGTTTTTTGCTTCATTATTTTGTGATAGTGTTTTTTCCTAAAGTTTTATTATGATTTGTTATAATTATCGGTGATAGGTGGAATTGTTTTCAATTTGTGGATAACGTATTACCTTGTGAAATAAGCCCGTAGCGTTTTCCAATAATCCGATTTTATCTATTTTCTATTTTCTTACGCACTTCGAGAAGTGATTAGTCAAGGTACTTTTGTTCTTCAGTTTCGTTCAAATCTCGAATTTTTACTATGTGTTTGTTAATTTAAATTGGTGAAAAAATTAGCGCATTTTGGTCATTTTTTGTGGTTTTCTAATGAAAACAAAGGGAAAATGGTGTAGAAAGCACCTTCCGAAGTGGTTCGCTTGGTTAAAAGGCGGACATTTTTATTTTGAAGGGCCAAAGCGCCTCTAGTCGTCCATCAACATTGATGATGACCAGATTCAAGCTTTTGTCGCCAATAACCCGCATTCAAAGACACGAAACATTGCTGAGACAATTATGCTACCTTACAAAAATATTTCAACGCATCTATGAACAGTTGGATATGCATGTCGGAGCTATGTTTGAGTTCTTCTCAGGTTGACTGAGAAGGATTTTTTTTCACATTCACATGTAAATCCCTGGAAAACGTTTCAATTTTGTACGAAATAGTAACGTTGAGCAGTTCCAAAATTGAAACCTTAAGGAAACACAGCATTTCCTATTTTTCCCAACTTTTTGTTGAAATAATTTATTTTTATTCTCCCACGCATTGTTAAGGAATAAAATAATTAAAAATGGTACAGGATCTTTCAAACGTCGCATAATCTTGAATACTTTCAAAATAAGCTCTACCAAACAGAAATCTTTCATTTGTAAAATATTCATTTTTAAAACTTATTGCCCGTTTCTCCAGAAGAAACCATTGCCTTAGCGTGCTTTCTTTTTTTAATATTCAATTATAATTATATTGTCAAATATTATCCTTATTTGTTTATTAAAATAAAGCACTTTTTTTCATTCATTCACTATTTTTGAAATTGGATATTTATAACTACACAGATGCGTCTGCCTTGTGTAAAGTTAATATGAAATATTTATCGTTTTACAACCTAAGGAAACGTTTTATTGCATTTCAATCTGCAAACAATTTATGACACATCGACACAGCTGAACACTCACGGACAAAGTTAAAAAAATTGTTTTCTTGGAACCTTAAAATATCATCGATGAATTAATTGATAAACAATTTTACCTTTTATGAGTTGGTTCAAAAAAAGTCCGGATGAGCAAGCAAGGAAGGTGTTTTTGTATTAGATTTGTTTTGGCAAAATTATTGATTTTCTTTGCGGGTTTAAACGAAATCAAATTTGATCTGTTGTCATGTATTTTCAATAAAGGTACAATCAAAATTAAATTTTTTTGTCAATTTCCTGTTCAGGGACTTAAAAACAGAACAGATAAATTTATCGATGGTTGGAAAAATATTAGGTTCAACTAGCTAAAAATTTTGTTTAAAAAAATTATTTATCGTTATCTTTATTTTTAATTGATAGCGATGGGCAGCCTTAATCCTGCGTCGTTTTAATTGCTCATGACACAATTATTTCTCATCAAGCCGGTTCCTATTCAAAAAGTCTAAATAAAAATCTCCCGTAAACCAAACTTAAATTAAATTTTCAATTTTTTATAGATATCGTATATTAAATTTTAAATAAAAGTTGCTATATTCAATAATGTTTCGTTTCGGCTTGTAGATGAATTTTGGTGGATTTTGGCATTCATCGTCTAGGAAATGGGCAAACAATGTCATGTAAACAAAAAATCTAGTAAACTTACTGTTGACGAGATAGCTGATATGGTCGCCACAGTCTTTAACGTTGTAAGCCCGGCCATGGCTAAAGGATCAAGCTAACTGACCGATCCATTTCTCACTTTTATCTAATCTTATCTCTACCATCCACAAGGTATAATACACACACCTTTTAACAATCTGATATCTGAATGGTCACGATGACTCATCCAAGAAATTCCCTTAGCAATTGAAAATGCCTAAAATTCCTATTATTTGCATTTGATTTCCCCGCAGGGGTAAATTTTTTCCCCAATTTTGTCTATTTTTAAATATAAAAAATGAAAAAGTTCATGCATAAAGAAAAAATGCCCATCTCTACTCCCAGGAGAAATTTTGGTTTTTATCTCGCCAAAGATGAAGAGAAAGGTATTGATAATGCTTTCTTATCTTCGACTATTTCCGTTTTTTCGAAAAACTTTCACTTCGTAGACTGTTTCAAATTTTATTTCAAGCCCGCCTCCGGTGTACCTTCGAAAGTTCTGAAATTACTGGTCTCTTTATTTTTATTACCGGAAACCGTTTTAAAATCAAAGTTGAAATATTCATAACTTTTCAGTCTCGCTTTATCTTTTTAATGCATCCAAAGCCCCGAAGTGAACGAGAAGGGCCAATTTTAACTTCATTCTGAATGCTCTTGACTTCGCTTTTAGATAGATTAATATTAAGATTAACCTAGGCCATTTTTATTTAGAAATCCTAGACCAATTGAAAGCTTTTCCTTCTCCAAATCTATTTTCTATGAAAGGAACCACGAAAAAATAAACTATCTTTCTCTCAGTAGAATTAATTATTGAAAGGAAAACTGGCTACTCAAACCAATGATACTACATATTTAAAAAAAAAGCCGATGGTCGTGGGTTCGAATTCTGCTTGCGGCACTAACTTTTTCATCTCAACCAGGACCTTAACATAAAAGAATAATTAATTGAAAGAAGTAAAACTAGACTACAGCAATTTGGTCGTTACTAATCATTTTGGTCTGTCAGAGAGAAAGAAAAAAATGACAATTACAGGTTCACATTTTTCAATTGGAAGTTACTGATAGATAAAAAATCATTAATAGGCAAATAGATAATGATCAGTCTCAAATTCATCCGTGACACCAAGAAAAACATCTGTCTTATATATTATGGAACAACACCAATGGAAATCTTACTCGATCTCCCATCCTTACACATTCTTGTACTAAACGTGGCTTTTGAGAGTGCCAGGGCTCCTGAGATACAAAGAAATAAAACCAGAGGAGAAGAAACAAAACTGAAGGGAGAAAAATTAAAAACAAGATGGCTATCCTGACAAAATGAGAAAAACTCAATGTTTACACCCTTGATTTTAGGGGGGCTCTTAAAAATCAGTAGTTGTTGGCCCTCAAGGCTCACTTGAGCAATGGGATAGTGATGCAACATGAAGCGATCTTTAATTGCCTTTTACGATTTTATCAGTGCTCACTGGAGCAACTGACAAGCGATATGACACATGCCATAGTACCTTTTTACATTAAACTGCTATGTATACTGGCAGACGCTCCTTTGTTGTTACAAAAAATGTTAGAAGATTTGGAAATGTATTGTGACTACTGGAAACTTCTAACTTCAAAACCAAATTAAAAACAATAAATTTAATTTACAAGCAAACGAAAGATGGAAATTTAAAAATCGTTGAAACATTAACGTTTATTTTGGGGATCTTATTGACATCATACATTTGATGGAAAAAATAAAACTAGCGAAATTAGGCTTTAATAGAACGGCACGTTATGCAGTGCAAATTTGGGTGTACAGAAGATACATAAATTTAGAAAAATTCCAACAGACCGTTGTGAACAGAATATTAACTCTTCCCAACATTATGCAATTTATTTAGAAACTAATACTTCAAGATTATTTCTTTTTAAGTTTAAATTACATTCCACCTTGATTGCCAAATCATTAAATGATCATAAAAAGCTGGCTAATTTAATTACTCATGAAAATGTTAAGTTAAAGTCTGGTTGGAAAGAGTGCAGGAACCCGAAATCCCCATGGTTTTAAATAAATTGAGTTTTAGTAGTTCTTCGCTGTAAAATTTTTGGATAAGCTCAGGTTGAGGGAAGGGACAGATTACTGGCCAATGTATCTGCAGCAAGCTTCCACCCGTGCTACAAACAGCTACGTCATGATCTAGATTACATCAACCATTAGTATAAAAAAGGCTAGCTTACTTTTTAAATTAAGAACTGAAATAGTAAACTTCAATTATCAACCCTGGAGACAAAATTACCTTTGGTCACAATGCAACTACAATGTCAATAAAACTGAGCATTTTCTATGTGAATATCCTATCCTGGAGAATTTCATTTAATTGTTTACAACCAGAGATCTTTGTCACATACTCAGTGTTTAGCCATTTTAAATAAAGATTTTTATTCATATACCATTTCTTCTTTAAAATACAGACAGTTTTTGGAAGATGAATTTAATCAATTTATTAAAAAATAATATTTTTCCTAATTTTAATGTTTAGTTCTGTATTTGTTATATATTTGCTATGAAAACTCAATAAACAAACTCTAACCCATTGCTATTATGTTAATCTCTTCAGAGGAGTATGTTGCTAACTGATACTTAAGTCAACGGAAATAAAAACCAAGAAAATATTGGATACACCAATAACAATATTTTCGGATTCTGCTTTTCTGCTATTTTCTTACCATGCCCTTTTATAACTAAAAACACTGTACAGGCTACAAAGACAAATAGAAAAAAAGAAATAAAAATATATTTTACAGTTTCACACTTCTATTACAATAGATACAAAATAATAAAACAAATGGCTGCCTTTGACGTCTTAAAATAAAATTATTTCTTTGCAAATGATATTTTCATGGCATGTGTCGGTGTTATTTTAAAACCATTTAGAGACATCTTTGCTTCGGCAGATTGATGTTCATTTTCAAATTCTACAAATGCGATGTCATGCCTATTTGGTACTAATCGGACTTCCTTAAAACCAGGAAACCTAAAGGAAAAAAATAAAATTTCAATTATTCCCATTCAAAATGATTCCCGATATAAAATTTTCAGGCTGATACTCACTGATTGAAAAGCATGGATAACATCATTTCATTGGTTTCATCTGGTAGATTTGTAAGGAACAAAATTTGATTAGGTGGTTGTTCTGGAAAACATAAAACGTGTTAATTAAAAAAATTCAACAAATAAAAATATTTATGCGGTTGAAATTAATTACCATGCATCTGTCTACTGTTTGGTGCCGAATTTTGACCAGCCGACCTAGCCTGTTCCTTGGCAGCTTTCTTTTTAGCTTTTTTGGATTCGACCGGTTCTTCCACTGGAGGCTTCTTTATTTTCTTTGGCCTCTCTTGGTAAGTGCCCTTTAATTTGGCTATAATATCTGAATCCGTTTTACAAAATGCAATTTTCTAAAATAAAAAGTACACTATATTAAAATAAGCATTAGTATTAAAAAATCATAAAATTTTGTGAGTAATACATGGTTTGATCAACCTCAATTTTGCTCTATAAAATGTTCTAATTTTTTTTTTAAATTAGTTAATTACCAAACAATAATTGGATTGCCAGTCCTTACTGTTTGAGCAGCCTAACATGTTTCAGCGTTTTGCCTTCTTCAGTGTTGGAAGTCACAATTTTAGCGCATAAGCAATTTTGCTTATAGCTTGTATACTTGAATGACATTACGATTTTTTTAAATAATTGTTATTATTTTATTTGTACCCTATACATATTAATACATATTACAAATGTGATGATTAAAAAACTTTTTTTCATTCACCATAATACCAGTGCTGCCACAGAAACATACCATGAAAAACCAACCAATGCTGACACTCGGTGAGGGATTAAAGGGGCAAGGAGGTCCTGAGGTCATCGACGATTAACGAGATGTGGCAGATTATCGGGAATATGTAGAGAGCTCAGGCAGTAGGGCTAAGATGGATCGAGAGTTCGATGTGAAACTTTTGTTGTTAGTTTAGACTATCAAGGTAAATTTTGGTCCTAGAAGTCTTGGTAGTTGGCTTAAGCGGGGAACACACCGGCACAACGCTATCCGACATGACCCGAACCCACCCGACGCAAATCCAATGACCAATTTTCCATACGATTGTAATACCCACCCCCATGCACATCTGCTCGATGCCACACAACATTACCCTACTCTACGCTCCCACTGTCCACATTTTTGTTGAGTAGCGTTGAGTACAGTCAAATACAAAAGAATCACACACTCATAGTTTTATTGCAAACTATATGTATAATTGTTGTTATATTAATTACAACATCCTTATTTTAATACAAACCAAATTAAGCGAGATCAAAAATGCATTATTTTTTATTTAAAAAAATTAATTTTAATTGTTTGGCAGAAAAATGATCAAAACACCGGAATACCATTTATTAATAGAATGAATTTAACTACAATTTATTACATTGTTTTGCTCATAAAATTTAATTAAACTTTATGACACGGTTTTGCTCATAAAATTTAATTAACAATTTATTTCATGGTTTTGCTCATAAAATTGAACTAACAATTTATTACATGGTTTTGCCCATAAAATTACACCATTTTTGTCGCATAAAGTCTGAACCGGACACTCGTATTTTTTGTAGTTTATTTCAAACTGTGTATATGTAATTTTGTTGTTATATTAATTACAACATTCTTATTGTAATATAAACCAATTAAACAAGATCAAAAATTCACGAGTTTTTATCAAATTTATTTAATTATGATGGCTAGGCAGAAAATTTATCAAAACACCGGAATAACTTTATTTAAAACAACTATTGGTTGGATTATTAAAATTTAACTAACAATTTATTACATGGTTTTGCTCAACATAATGCATTAAGAACAAAAGAAGCATTGTGATTGTGATACATGCTGTGTAATTGTAAGTATCGTGGACTTGACATTGCACAGATGTGCACACCCTACCAAAATGAGACATGGCATTGGGTCAGGTCGCGTCGTGTTGGGTCAGTGTGTTCCCCGCTTATGTCGTGTATGGCGATTCCATTTCAGTCTGCTATCTACATATAGTCCTAAGTATTTGACTTGAATGGAACTTGATATCTCTTTGTTCTTGATGTACAATGGAGAGCAAGATTGTTTTCTTAATGTGATGGTACATATTTCTTCATTCAGTCTTGTCATCAACTTTGTGCACCAGATAAGCTCAAGGTGTTCCTGGATATTGGGAAGGAGTCGAGTTAGAGGACAACTTGCAGTATTGTCTGCGTAGGTGGTGATGGCGGTTTTAGGGTTTTATAATATAGGTAGATGAGCAGTATAAACGATAAAAGGAATGGGAGTGAGAACGCTCCTTTGTGGGAACTCAACTTGTATGAGAACTCATTACCGCACCTCACTCTGAAGCCGCGGTCTGTTAGGTAGGATTTCAGGATGATAATAAGGAGTGGATAAGAAGCGTTTAAGTTCATAAAGCTTGACCGGTAAATGCGTTAAAACTAAATGTGTAAAGTTGATGTTTTACCATTGGTTTTTCATAAAAAGGAAATCCCTGCATGGACTTCAAGGCGTTGGTTGCACTCGCTATTTCCTTGAATATTACGAACGCCTGGCCCCTCATTTTGAGCGTTTTCAATGCGACTATGTCCAAGATCTGTCCGAACTGGGAGAAAATGGCATAAAGCGACTTTTTAAGCTCTAAAAAGGAAAGAAACAAACGGATAAGTTGAGGCCTTGGTACAAGTGCTTTGATATTCGACCGGTTGAACGTTTTCCCCTCGGCTCACCTTCTTTTTTAATCTTCTCGTTGAGATTGTTGATGTAAATCGTGTGATTCGGCCTAATATCCATTATTTTGAAATATTTAAATAAATCGAGTTTTGTACGGAAACGAAACGAAGAACGAACGCCGACAAACTCTACAGTACACCAGAGAGTAGCGACTTGTAAGGTTACAAACAAGCCCGGTAACGGCTGTCGCTATCATGTGCCTCCAATACATAAATAAAAATACTTTTCATTAAAACGAAAAAAATCAACTAAATTTTAATGTAGTAAAACAATCAACACACTAAATAATATATCAGATTAATTTATATAAAAAGTAATTGTTAAAACAACACAGTACGTTTTTCCTTGTGTGAACTAAACTGCACAAAAATGAATAGGGATGTTGCCAATTTTGTAGTATTCACTTTCCCTAGCATTTTAATTATAAATTCCATTAAAATTTATTATGTTTTTTACCGAAGGAAAATTTAATTAAGGGATTTGGAAAAATAACGAAATAAAAGGTTTTACTTCCATAATTTTGTTTGTTGGATACATTAACTTTTTTAAACAATTAATACCATGTATATGTTCTCTGTTGGCTAAAACCTCTGTGCACCTGTTAGGCATATTGTTAATAGGCTTGTCAATAATTTCATGAGGAATTTCACTCCATATAATGTTGCAATGCTGTACTCTGTTGCTGCAGGTCAACTGGCTGCGAATGGTGATCGAAAAGCCTTTTCTGCAATGCATCCCAGATGGGCTCAATGGGATTGAGGTCTGGAGACAATAGGGGAAGGGGCAGAGGAGAAATTCCCAAGTTTTCTAAACAATGATGGACAACTCTGCCTCTATTATGTCTGACATTGTCCTCCAGAAATCGAAATGCCAATGAGATCCCTTGTTTGAGGGATGAATCCCCCGATAATTTCTTGGACATAATGAGCTGCAATGAGGTTGTCTTTAACAATATGGAGTCCAATTCATTTTCCAGTGTACATCCCAGCCCAGACACTGCCTTATACACTGCCTCCTTCGAATTGCACTGAAGGGCCCATGAACTGGGGCACTGTACACATCCCCTGTTCTTTGTAGACTCTTCCACGCTTGCTATCACTATATACAACTCATCAGTAAAATAACAGCATTCCAATTGGTGTTCACTTCTAGGCTCTTGCTGCACCGTACCCTCTTGAATTGCTGGTGGCAGGCTGTTGTTGCAGGTCATCTCAAAGAGGCATATGATGTGAAGTCAACTTACGAATCGTTTGTATTGATGTCTTGCCAAAACAACTTGTACTTCATTTCGATCTGGTGGGCCCTATGGAAAGGTTCCATCTTGCAATAATGGCAAATTTCTGTCCTCTCTTAGAATTGTAATGTGCTGCCACTACCAGGCCTCCTATTGCCACTTCTCCGAATCAGGCTAAAGCTGCCCTGGTTTTGACCCTTAGCCTTACCCATTCTGTGTTTCGCCAGAGTGGGTCTTGTCTTCTTTTGAATTTTTCACAGGGCAGCTTGATTCATATTCATCAAATATAAATCCTATCTGCTGTAACTGCAAGTTTTAGTACATTGCAGATGCTTAGTATTTTCATCACTGTTGCATGATCACAGGTTGTGCTGTACCATCTCAGTGAAATTTGCTCAGTAAGTGTTTTGAGTTTTGAGTATATTGAAATACGGTATAGTATATTATAATTAATATAACGAAATTCTGGGGCAATGGATTCTACATTAGTATTTGTCCTGTTATTTTCAGAAAAACCTCTGTCGGTTACTATATGTAGTCGGTACTATAAAACAAAAGTAAACCACTTGCTTTCTGCACAAATAGATTGAGAGATTCTGTAGTTAGGAATCAGTCATTGGTTCAATGGGAATGTATTCTAGGATTACATGGGGAAAAGATCATTAAAGACCACCACAGAAAATAAAAGCAAAACTACTACACCTAGATGTGTTAAGACTGCTGACTAAACTATTAGTCATAATTACAGACCTGGATCAGCAGAAACAAGCCAGTGCAGATATTGCCAGGAAAAAGAACCTGAAGGATGAATATGATAGCACATAAACCTTTGGGATCTAGTAAAAGCCATATACTTAACAGAGAGTGATGTTCAAGGTCATAAATAGGCTGTCTCTTAATAACCTAAACCCTAACCTAATTAGGAAAATAACACAAAACAGTACTTGGAAAATTTTATAAATGCTTCATTTAAAGTTCATTGGGCAGTAAAATTTGTTCAAACTGAAAATGTCTTAATTTTTTAAACATCTGGTTTTACCATTTTCTTATTCATTTTCTCTCCTTAATATTTTTGTACTACAATTTCCCTGATTTTCTCTTTTGTTCAAAGACTCATCAGAAATAAAGAGTTCTTTCTAGCAATGGAAAACAAGATTTCCCAAGGCTCTTTGGACATAAATGGTTCCAATGTAAGCCTCTATAGCATCATGGTGACAGTCATTGAGGCTAGCAATCTTATTTGGACCGGGATGCTGACCCAAGTCAGCATCCTATTTGGAAAAAAGACGAGAAGAACAAAGATAAAAGCTGGAACTGACAGCCCATACTACAATGAAGTAAGTTGAAATTAGAAAATTTAATATGCATTTTAAGGGATTAATCATGGCGCTTTCCCCCCACAGTTTTTTGTCTTTAAATACAAGGGAAAATTCAATGATATGATAAATCAGGTATTGATCATAAATGTGAGTAAATTAAAATTTAAAATTTTACCATGTGTAAAATTCACTTAAGTTATTAACAAAATTATTTAATTATATGGAAATTAAATGAGTTTATGATTTTTCTAATAATGTCATAAAACATAGTAATGAAACTTTTAGAAAATTTTTAACCATTGTATCTTTAAGCTTAGAAAAATCATTATTTGTTTTTATAATAAATATAAAAATAAAGATGTTAACTTTTAAGAGAATTCCTTTCATAATAGTATTAAGTACTTTAAAGGTTTACCGTCCTTGCACTTTAATAAAAAGGAAGAAGTTAATTGGAAGCGCTAGGTTTGATTTATCAACTATTTGGATACAACCTGGTAATAAAACAAATCAAATACATTTTTTTTAATGAATAACCTCGAGTGTGATCTGTTGAAGACCATGAAATTGTGCAAAAGTGGATTGTCCTCACACACCCCGAAGAACCTATTGGTTCTGTCAAGGGTTATCTAAAGTGTAGCATAGCTGTCGTTCCTTCAGGCGTACCGATGAAGAAATCAACTGTACAAAGATTCAACGATAAAACACAGGCAATTAAAAAGTAATGTTGTTTTGCCTAATGTAGAGCCTCCATTTAACTGACATTCTTGATGCAGCGAATATTTTGTTCCTGAGTCCCTCGGAAGTGGGAGATTAAAAGCAATGTACATTATGAAGATATATCGAATCACTGGTTTATGCCAGAAAAGAATGTCCATTTTCAGTAAGAAGCATGGATCAAAAACACCAAAATGTTATATTAGCATTTACTATGCAAGATTACATGTAAGATTTTTTATTACACCATTATTAAGCTGGAAAACACTATTATACTTTTGAACCTAGGGTAGTACATCAAAAAGACAATTAATATCCAGTGAATGTTATTGGAATGAAGAGATAACCTTTACCGAAGTGTTCCCACCACTTTTTAACAGAGTGAAAATTGATGTTTATCTAAAAAAGAAATGCGTTTGTTCAAGATTTATCAATTTTAGAGAAATTTCAGACCCGGCTGTTAAAGGTATTGAAGAAGGAGTGTAACGTACTGACACAATGACCAACAAATTGCAGGTTTTCTACCAACCTACGGTCCAGCTTTCTTGCATTTTTACAACACAGAGTATAATTTCATGGGCTCTCTTTTAATGTCAATAGAGACAAAGACGGTAATTAATTTACCAAAAGGTCATAAAATGGTTTCAGTAAAAAGGACAAGTACAGCAGAAATATTAGAGGTTGGTATACTTGGTATACTCTGATATACAAAAAATTAACTATTTTTCATTTTTAGAATTTATATTGGAATGTAGAAGAATTTGCTATAGTCGGTATTCTATTTGATGTATCAATGCTTCCGATTAGTATAAGCAAGAAGAAGAAGCTAAGCCTGTCAATGTGTTTCTCCGAAGATGAAAAGTGCTCTACAGGTTAAAAGAATGCTTGTAATCTTGAACATTGCTGAGAATTTGTTTTTATAATTGTAGACTTTTGTTCTATCTGGTCCAATCTCACTGTGAAGAGTGAACAGAGTCATTACAATTACGCCGATGTGGATATGAAAAATAAACCAACACTGTTTGTAAAAAAAAAATTTCCCGATTTGCGACACCGCCTTTTCATCTCGAACACTCTTGACAATGTCAGCAGAAAACTTGTAAGTCGAATGTATTGGTATCATTTTATTTATTTTTAATAATTTATGCCTTAGAAGAAAGGTCTGGAAGATGCTCTTTCTATAAATGAACACCTTCCCGAAGAAGCAAAATCAATTTTGAGAAACACTCTAGAAACTTTTCAACTGGATTGTTCATTTATTCTACAGTCTGAAATGAAAGCATACACTAATCTTCAGAAAGAGCGAATAAAAATAATTTACAATTCACTTGTAAAACCTTTAACCAATGCACATAGTCGATTAGTAAATAATCCGTTCTTTAATTACAGAAAACTGCACATGATGTTTTTAATATGAATAACTTTTATTCATATCCCTTTAACGAACAGTTTAAACAAGCCTATTCAATTTATACAACAATTCATAAGCTTGTAAAAGATGTAAGTACTTTATAAATCAGTTCACAGCGTACAAAAATGCATAGAAACTTAATAAAAATTTGTTGCTGTTTCAGCCTCAAGACAATTTCCCACATATAATATTTAAACTGAAATCAGGAAAACGGATGTTGGGATATTCAAAACTTTTAGCTAAAGACATTTTGTTTTCGGCAGATGTCTACGAGAAAGGGCAATCCTGCGGAAAGATAAATTCAATATATTTTAAGGTAAGAAAGATTCTCTTAGATCCTGTAGATTTATAGATGAAAATAACAATAGTAAAAATGATTTGGAATGTTGAAATTAAAAAGTAACAGAGCATTAGCAAAAGAAGCTCACAACTAGTAAATAGATAAAGATTGAGCATTTTTGTTTTTAATTGTAAATACTATTCAAATATTTCTTTATAACAATAAAATAACTAAAAAATAGACCTTATGGCACATTGTAAGATTTGTGTTTACCTAATACAAATTTAATAATATATATTAAATCTGAGGATGAAGAAATATGTTCAATAAAATATAAATAGTAAACATATTAACATACATAAATACATCCGTATCTATTTATATACCATTCCTCAGTCAAGGTGGTGGAGTACTTGATTTTCTTCCATAGTCTTTTACACCTATTATATAACTAACCTAATTGAGGGTCGATGTTGTACTCAATATTCTACCAATGGCCTTTCCACATTACACAATCATGCTAATAAATACATTCACTCTCAACACAAACTAGGGAGACAAAACTATCAATTTTGTGTACAATAGAACAACCCAGTTTCCTCCAAAAATAAGAACATGGGACTCAGGTATTCACTGTTGTTGTGCCCAAGCACCATTCTCATATTGGGTGGCTCATATCCTCTATGTAGAGCCAAGGAATTGCTTTCTTTGGAAGTGTAACACATCAAGCAACCTTCCTGCTGGATAAATGCAAAGGTTTTGGGCCGAAAGTTATTGTCCGTGTGAGTTAACTTTGGCATATTCTGTTTGGTTATAAATATTTTATTTATCAATCCATATTATTAGTCATAATTGACCATATTAATTATTTCAATTAATTATTCTTTTTATCTAAGTTCTGGTTGAGATGAAACAGTTTGTGTCACAAATGGGATGTGAATCCACGACCTTTGATTCAATACACCGTGCTCTAACCACTTGAGCTATTGTGGCTTCGATCCAATCAGACACCAACTCCCCATTTCAACCTCCAACCTTTCAAATTTCCATTTTTTTTTTTGTTGCTATTTTTCAAATGTTGTGTAATCAGGATTAGATTCTCAGTGTCTTATGAAGGGCTACAGGGAGCTTGTTAGCGAAGTGATTAATTATTATATTAATTCATGTATGTTAGCGGTCATTATTGACCATATTAATTGTTTCAATTAATTCTTTTTATCTAAGTTCTTGGTTGAAATAAAAAAAGTTAGTGTCATGAGCGGGATTCGAACCGATTACCTTTGGCTCAATGCTCTAACACTTGAGCTATCGTGGCTTCAATCCAGACACCAACACTCCATCTCAACCTACAGCCTTTTAAATTTTCCCTTTTTTTGCCATTTTTCATTTCGCTCGTGACACTAACTTTTTCATCTCGTCCAAAACTTTAGGTAAAAAGCATAATTACCTGAAATTTTGTTTATTGTTATTTTTATTTGTGTACCTTAGTGACCTGTTCTTTCAAAATTTGTTGAAGTCGTGAGGAGCGGTCAAGAATGAGGTAGTTTAGAAAAACCCTTTTTTTTCTATTTTTTTTTTTTTTTTTTTGGCGCGTTTTGACCTTTATTTGGGTCATCCTCAGGGCCTTGGTAAATTACAAAAACATTTAAGGTGTCAATATAAAAAGAGTTGTGAAACGCGGACAGCAGAATAAAAATTCCCGTTTCACAATACTTTCACACAAAACCAATATGACACCACAAGACTAGCACCACACTTTATGTGAGTATGAAATACTTGGTTCAAAATTTATATTTACATCTTAAATTGTATTTTTTCCAAACAACATATGTTTTGTAATTTACCCAGGCCTTGAAGATGATCCGAATAAACATCGAAATGTCGAAAAAAAAAATAATAAAAGTGTTTTTATAAACTACCTTATTCTTGACCTCTCCTCACGACAAATTATTTTTATTGATATCTTGTGTTGTATTAATGGCTTATGACACAATTTATTTCCGATATATGGTTGTAAAATTCAAAAAATTATCATCATATGTTCAACGAATAAAGTACTTTTCCATTCATCGTAAAAACCAAAAAAAATTGAAATATTACTAGTTCAGCATTGACAATGTCTAAACTGCACATTTGGAATTAATGCTAGAATTTTAACTAGTGAGAAAATTGATAGTAAAGTGCGTTGACGTGGTGACCTGTTTGTTTTAATTGCAAAGAAAATAAATAAACAAAAGTTGAAAATGATTGTGCAGAAAGAGACGGCAGCTTTCCCCTTTAGTGACGTCACGTTTCACTTCCCCACCCGACGAACGGTCGTCTATCGTTCAGTGCTCGAACGAGGCGAACAGTGAATCTAAGGATGTCGGAGTGACGAGACGTAAAAGAACTGTTGTTTTATCTGATTCGGAGTTTTACGCATTCTTGGTCAATTCGATCTCTGCACAACAACTATGCAGGTGGAAATAGTTTCAGCGACGAACAACAAAACGATCTGCGTCGTAGACGGTCTGACGGCGTCGTCGACCGTCGCAGACGTGAAAAAAGGGGTATCTCGGGAAAAGAAGGACCTGTACCCGGAGAGACAGGCACTCCGGGCGGAGCCGAAAGGTAAGTCGCTCAACGACGACGAGACCCTGGCCGACCTCGGTATGAAAAACGGCGGCCGGCTCTTTTTGAAAGATCTGGGCCCGCAGATCGGCTGGTCGACCGTCTTCCTCGCCGAATACGCCGGCCCGCTTGTCATCTACCTCTACATCTATCAGAGGCCTTGGCTCTTCTACGGCACCGGGGGCTCTTCGGCGCCGATCAGCACGACGGCCCATATCGCAGCCGCCTGTTACACATTCCACTACGCAAAACGGCTCTTCGAGACGGTCTTCGTCCACAGGTTTTCCCACGCGACGATGCCCTTGAGCAACCTGTTCAAAAACTGTTCTTACTACTGGCTCTTCACTGCGTACGTCGCGTATCACGTCAACCACCCGCTGTACACTTCTCCAGGATCGGGCCAGGTGTTCGCGGGCCTCGTCGGCTTCCTGCTCAGCGAAGTGGGCAACCTGAGCATCCACGTCGCCCTCCGGGACCTCAGGCCTCCGGGCACCAAGGAGAGGAAGATACCAGTCGCGACGGGCAACCTGTTCACCTTACTCTTCAACTTCGTCTCCTGCCCGAACTACACGTACGAATTCTTCTCCTGGCTCTCCTTCACCGTGATGACCCAGTGCCTGCCGGCCGGCCTCTTCGCCCTCGCCGGCCTCTACCAGATGTCCGTCTGGGCCATCGCCAAGCACAAGAACTACCAAAAGGAGTTCGCGAACTACCCGAAACAGCGAAAGGCGATCCTGCCTTTCCTCCTTTGAAAAGCCTCCAGCACAATTCAATATTTCGACCTTCAATATTACAGTGAATTCTATTCAAATTCATTCCACATTTCTCGACCGAACATATAACAAAAATCAACGTAAAAAAATTCCATTTAATGTTCAATTTTAATAGTTTACCTGATAGAATTGTATTTACTTTTTTTTAATAACTTTTTTTTATGTTTATGTTTTCCATGTAAAGTTAGTTTTATAAAAATCTAAAAAAATAAATCTCTTGATTATATAATTAACCCTGAAACTTCTCGTATAAATACTAAATAAGGAAAAACATGAAAACTTCGACCTGCAGAAAAGTAGGTAAAAATTGGAATTGATAAAGAAATCACGCTACCTACCTTCACCTCATTAAATATGTCATTAAAGACATTAAAATAAACATAAAAGATTGAAGCATTTCAGGATTTCTTTATTAATCAGAATCTTCTAAACAATCCACTAAAAAAAAGGGAAGCAGCAGTGGTTAAATGCTTCCGTGTAATTCTAGACGTTGGAGTAATTCCAGCAGTATTGCAGACGTTTCTTATCCGCGGCGGATGCGTAATAACCGCGGATGGTAGGAAAAACCACAAATTTCATGCTAGGAAACCTTATCTGATCACCAGGCACTTCTGTATCCCGTGTGGCTAACGTCACTGTTTCGTAAGAACTTTTTTTAAAACTATTTTGTTTTCAAAGTAAAGTTATTTTTTTTACAATCTAAAAAAATAAATCCTGTTTATATAATTAACCCTCAAACTACTATAAATGCTAAATAAATAAAAAACATCGAAACTTCGACCTGCAGAAAATTAGGCAAGTATTGTAATTGATGAAGAAATCGAGAACTTCTCGGCCCTTATTTGTTTATTAATGCTGATGTCATATGATATGCTATATGTCAATAAAGACCTTAATAAATAAACATAAAAGATCGAAGCAGTTCAGGATTTCTTTATTAATCAGAAGGTTACAAACAATCCACTGAAAAAGAAGGAAACAGCAGTTTGGTTAAATCCTGTTTTTTTTTGTACATTACAACTACCTTAAAGTAGGTAATAAGTAACAGTGAGCACGGTAATTAAACCAAGACAAAATTAAAATCAAGAGTGGAGAAAACACCCATTGGTATTACAACAATGTTACAATAATATTGTTTGTTCAATTGATTCCTGTGATCATTTCCTAGGAGATCTCGCGGCCATTTTCTCTTCAGTCGGCGGGGAGGATTTGAGGGGATTCGTCGGGATGCGAGGTTTCTGATGTGTTGGTTTACGTTAGTTGGGAGGTTTTTATGAAATTACGGTAACGGTAACGTATTTCATCTTGTACGAAAGGAATATGTAAATCTGTATGTGTAGTTTGGTTCGATACATAAAATGGAGCATCTAGTATTTTTCGTAGTATTATAGACTGGGCAGTTTGAATGCGGTGGATATTGGAATGTTTGGCTGAACCCCACACTTCCAGTCCGTAAGTCCAAATCGGCTTAACTATGGTGTTGTAAAGCAGCCTTTTATTTTTGAGAGATAAATTAGAGCGTTTGTCAAGAAGTCGTGCAAGAATTCTAAATCGTGTCATAACCTCCTGACGTTTTGTATCCTATGTAATTCCAATATTACAGACGTTCCTTATCCGCGGAGGATGCGTAATAACCGCGGATAATGAGTCCATCGGTTCGTAGGAAAAACCCGTATTTCAAGCATGGAAGCATTTTCTCTCATCTGCACACCAATCAGACGCGTGTGGCTAACATCAATGTTTTGTATGAACCTTTTTTTGAACTACTTTGATTTCAAAGTAAAGTTAATTTTTTAAAAATCTATAACAATAAATCCTGTTTATATAATTAACTCTCAAACTACTCGTATAAACACTAAATAAGGTAAAACAGCGAAAATGCTTTTATGAACTATTTTTTAACTAGTTTGTTTTCAAAGCAAAGTTAGTTTTTAAAAAAATCTAAAAAAATAAATCTCTTGTTTATATAATTACCTCTCAAACTACTTTTATAAATACTAAATAAGGAAAAACATAGAAAATGCTTTTTATGAACTATTTTTTAACTAGTTTGTTTTCAAAGCGAAGTTAGTTTTTAAAAAATTTAAAAAAATAAATCTCTTGTTTGTATAATTACCCCTCAAACTACTTTTATAAATACTAAATAAGGAAAAACATGGAAACATCGATGTGCAGAAAATTAGGTAAAATTGCACTTGATAAAGAAATCTCCAACTTCTTGGCCCTTATTTGCATATTAATGCTGATGCCATATATGTGTCAACCTGGCTGACATCGTCAAAACTCCGGATATAATAATTCACAACAAATTAAAAATTATTTTCTTGGCTGACATACCTACCACCACCATGGGGTGTAATTTCTATTTATTAATGTATTATTAATTATTATTTATTAATGGTAGGTATGTTTATTTATTAATGCCTTAATTGACATATTTAATGATAAATATGTCAATTAAGGCATTAATAAATAAACATAAACGATTGAGGCATTTCAGGATTTCTTTATTAATCAGAATTTTCCAAGCAATCCAGCAAAAAAAGAAGGAAGCAGCAGTTTGGTTAAATCCTTCTGTGTAATTCCAGTATTACATACGTTCCTTATCCGCGGAGGATGCGTAATAACCGCGGATAATGAGAACATTGGTTCGTAGGAAAAATGACAAATTTCATGTTGGAAGCGTTTTTTCTCATCAGAACACCAATCAGGCACTTTCTGTATCGCGTGTGGCTAAGGTCAATGTTTTGTATGAACTTTTTTTAAAACTATTTTGTTTTCAAAGTAAAGTTAGTTTTTTGAAAATCTAAAAAAATAAATCTCTTGTTTATATAATTAACCCTCAAACTATTCCTATAAATTACTAAAAAAGATGGGAACTTCGACCTGCAGAAAATTAGGTAACATTAGAATTTATAAATCATTGAACTTTTTGGACTTTTTTGTTTACTAATGTTGGTGCAATATCTGTGCCAATCTGGCTCACCTCTTCAAGGCTGCTATAACTAAATATGTCAAGTCTCAATGTACATAATTCGGGAGTGTGATCGATTAATAAGGTGGTAGTGGATATTGCAGCCAAGCAAACAATTTTTAATAGTTGTTTTTTTAGTTTGACCCATATTTGACCTGCCTACAGGTCAAATTAAAAACTGAACAATTAAAAATTATTGTCTCGGCTGAGATACCTACCACCATCTCATTAAATATGTCATTAAAAGCATTAATAAATAAACGTAAAAGATTGAAGCATTTCAGGATTTCTTTATAAATCAGAATATTACAAACATTCCACTAAAAAAAGAAGGAAGCAGCAGTTTGGTTAAATCCTTCTGTGTAATTCCAATATTACAGACGTTCCTTATCCGCGGTTATTACGCATCCTCCGAGAGGTTCCTTATCCGCTGAGGATGCGTAATAACCGCGGATAATGAGAACATCGATTCGTAGGAAAAACCACAAATTTCATGCTTGGAAGCATTTTCTCTCATCTGCATACAAATCAGGCCCTCTTGTTTATATTCTTAACCCTCAAACTACTCGTATAAACACTAAATAAGGAAAAACATTGCAACTTCGACGTGCAACGTGCAAAAAATTAGGTAAAATCGAACTTCTTGCCCCTTATTTGTTTATTAATGCTGATGGCATATATGTGCCAACTCCGACTTGCAGAAAATTAGATAAAAATTGGAATTGATAAAGAATTCACGCTACCTACCTTCACCTCATTAAATATGTCAATAAATAAACATAAAAGATTGAAGCATCTCAGGATTTCTTTATTAATCAGAATCTAAGAAACAATCAACTAAAAAAAGAAGTTTGGTTAAATTATTCTATGTAATTCTAATATTGCAGACGTTCCTTATCCGCGGAGGATGCGTAATAACCGCGGATGGTGGAAAACCATTAATTTCATGCATGGAAGCATTTTCTCTCATCTGCATACCAATCAGGCACTTTCTGTATCGCGTGTGGCTAACGTCAATGTTTTGTATGAACTTTTTTTTTAACTACTTTGTTTTCAAAGTAAAGTTAGTTTTTTTATAAATCTAAAACAATAAATCCTGTTTATATAATTAACCCTCAAACTAATCGTATAAATGCTAAATAAGGAAAAAAATCGAAACTTCGGCCTGCAGAAAATTAGTTAAAATTGGAATTTTTAGACCTTATATGCTTATTAATGCTGATGTCATATCTGTGCCTATCTGGCTCACCTGTTCAAGGTGTCCTGATATAACTAAATATGCGAAGTCTCAATATACATAATTTTTCGCTGTGATCGATCTGCATACCAATCAGGCACATTCTGCATACTGTATGGCTAAAGTTAATGTTTTGTATGAACTTTTTTTAAAATGTTATTTTCAAAGCAAAGTTGGTATGTTAAAACTCTAAAAAATAAATTTCTTGTTTATATAATTAACCCTTAAACTACTCGTGTTTAAAATTGATAATGAAGAAAATATAAAACAACAAGAAATTTGATGACTTAATAATATTTGTTTAGTTAAAAAGTGAATACAAATTTTAAAAATTATTTATTAAAAGCAAGCGGTTTCAAAAGGGATACTTTTAACATATATAAACAACCAAGTGTTCATAATATTTGACATTCAAAAAGTACTTCAGTTTAATCTCTCCTTATAATAGGAGTTTAAAAATACGATAACGAAACAGGTCAATTAACGAAATGGGTTGAGAAATAAGTGAAGGCCAAAAACAAATATTGTAGGGAAACAAAAATTTAGAAAGCACAAAGAGAGTTATTTTTGAATTCGTCAATTGAACTTTCTTTTCTGGGAGGAATCCGGACGATTTACACGGTCTGATGTTGATGAAAGCTGTTCATGATTGTAAATCACCTCTTGGCTCCTTTGATGGATCGGATGATATGCACGCGCATGAAGAAGAATGCAAGGCCGTCTTACTTAAGTTAATATTATGACCTATTAGTGATCATCGTCATTATCAACGGACAAGGTTTACACGGGTCTATTTGTTAATTTGTATTTCTTGCCCTTTTTGGCCTTACTACGGCAGCATTTTTTTATTTTTTTATTTTCACTTTACAACATCCTACATCTTTTATCCTTCAACCTGCGAGATGATTTTGCTTACGCAACGTTCATCCTGGCTCTGTGGAGAAATCAAACGACCTCAATATTTCTGGTTTTTTATGGGAGTGATACACATAGCTATATTTT